GTATACACGCCTGTTCAAGTGTCGCGCCTCTAAAATTTCTGTTTCGGCATCACCCCCCTTCGAATGTCCGGTGTCCTGACTCATGCCTTCAACAGTGCCTTTAGACATTCAAAAAGCGCCATTTTATATCCATTCACAATTAAGGGAACTGCCGTTATGTTAGTGTCCGTATAGAACAACCGCTTAAAGGAGCATTCCGAAATAGAAACATTACGTTTCATGCGAAAAGATGGCGGGTAAAGGATAATTTTAAAGAGAATTCCCTTATTAGGAAACATCAAAGTTGTCAACACGAAAATAGAAGCAGTAACATGCAATGCTGAAGAACATGCGCCTATTTAAAATGTTAAATTTCCCGACAGATCGGCATAAACGGGCAAGCTATAAACCGTCCCAATGATAGCCTTCGGGGCGCTTCCATCTTTGTTTACCGAGCTTTGGAAGTTGTTCTGAGCATGTACAGTAGCTCTTTTCTTCAGATATTAGAAGTCTCGCATGCGTCCACAGCCAGTGAACCAGCATTTTTCTTTGGGAGGATAAGTGTTGAAGAGGTTATATACTTCGTTTCACCGTAACTCAAGGTCCAATCGAAGGCTAGGAACACAGAAACACGCAGACACGTGCTAAACGGGCAAGCTCACGACCCATGCACTGCGCTTGATTGGCTTAGCGGACGATAGCACACGGATAGAAAGACGGGGGGGGGGGGGGGGGGGGGATGCCGTGACGTTGCGAGTTTGACTCTGATTCATTGGTTCAATCAGCTCGTAGCGTTGACTGCGTTTTGCCTAAATTGAAATAAAGCATAATGATATCTCATTTCATATTAATCGCATACGCCATCCTCTTATATCGCGAAATTGGGTTAATACTGTGCAGCCGAAGACTTACCTATTGCCCGAAGGCGGTTAATGGAAGCGCCTCGGTCGACCGCTGGTCCCCGCGGCTAGTGGCCAAAAGGGGCAACTTCGGGAAGGCCAAGCCACCGAGTGATTGGACACGAGCAAGGCGTCACGGTTAAAAAAGGAGCTCCGACATTTGAGCTAGAGATGGGATCCAAAAATCGCAGCCGCGGGCCATCTCAGAGTTGCAAAAGTTTCCCATAAGATGACGCCTCCTCTCAAACAAAACGTCATTGCCCTGTGGATATTGATAACACTCACTCAAAATAAATAAGGCTGCTTAAAAAACGCGGAGCGCCCCCCAACATCTTATTATCGATAAAAAGCTAATCAAGGCGTAGCATTAACTGATCAAAACGCCAAAGAACCAATCACCAAACAAGAAACGTGAAAATAAATAAACCACGCCCGGCGTTTCATAAAGGGGCGGTACATAGACCTTTGTACTTAGCGTAGTTAGAACGAATACCTGACGTGTATGACCTATCAAGCACTAGCTAGATTTTCTTCCGCGTACAACGGTAGTCGCACACTCTAAAAAAAGCCCGTGAGTCTGCTTTCCCGCACAACACTCGGAAAGCCAATCATCGTAACTTACGAAGGCGGCTCAGCGAATGACAATGCCGAAGCATAGGTTTAGACTAAAAAACGCAGTCTGAGTTGTGACATTAAGCAATGCAAGCGTGACGTTTTACATTGCTTAATGTCACAACTCAGACTGCGTTTTTTGGCCTAAACAGATGTTTCGGGATCATCATTCGCTGAGCTGCCTCTGTAAGTTGCGTTGATTGGCTCTCCAAGTGTTCTGCGTGAAAGTAGACGCACCTTTTTAGAGTGCAAGAAAAAAAAATAGAAAAGCGTTTTCTCCCTCAGCCCGATGCCCGAACAAGCGGCCACGTGATCTGGTGCCAATCTTATGCCGCCAATAAATGACACCCCTCCAAAGAGGTTTTTTTGTCGGTGGCATTCCGTGCAAAAGTATTTGGCTCTCACTACTTCCAGTAAGCTCGCTTAAAGTGAAAACTATTACAACTTAACACTGTTGCATCGCTTCTTTAAGCTATTAGTGACTATGGATAAAAAGATAGTATTCTCTAACGCCACTGGCACAAGTACCATAGTCGCTGTCACTGACAGCCTTTAAGACAGGCAGGACGTGACTCAATAGCGAGTTTTCGCAAATTATTTCCGTCGTCTCGCAATGGTCTTCGCAACTCGATACCACATCCGGAACTCTGCAGAGAAGGCTAGTGGCGCGCACGCGCAGTAGTCGCATCTTGGTTTGTGGATACCGTTGCGGGGCGGCGGAAATGATCTACGAAAACACCCTTACCTTCATGCCTCTTGTTGCTCTCTTTCATCGGCCTTCTGCTTGGTAAGCTAGGATTTGATGCCCATTTTGCACCCATCTTTTTATTCGAATTTCGGATAATTCGAACGCCTTAACCTCACTGGCTGTGAAACGATGATAATTAGCGCTCAGAACTCGCCACACCCGCTTTTCTTAAGTTTCCGGTGACCATGTTGTTTATGCATTAGTAAGCAAAGCCGATGCTACGAACCAATGGGGCCAACCAAGGAGCAGCGCTGAACGCGCAACGTCACGGCGTTTGTCGTTTTTCTGTGTCTGCCTCACCGCATGCACGCTCATCCGCTCGGATGCAGAAGGTGCACAGTGCTCTGACACTTTTGTTTTTGTGTGTGCTTTTTAGTGTCCTCCGTGCTTTGACAATGCTCCGTCAATAGTCGCAGTCACACTGTTCATATATCAAGACAGTGTGTAGACGCTGTCTGAGGTGTGTGTCTTCCTCGTAAGACGGGCCACTCGCATATGTCACAAAAGAAAGACTTTCTTGAGATATGAACAAAGCACGTATGAAGCAAAAAGGCTTCGAGCATACGCGAGGCGTGTCCGCAGACGATTTTGTCATCGTGTCAGACATAAAACCGCGCGTCTCTTGAAAGACGCCTTAGGAGTGCGACTGCGGCCTTTAGGTGAAGCGACGTGTGGCATAAGTTTCTGCACAAAAACGCCCCTTTCACGCTTTCTGTAAGTAGCGACATTCTTGGCGGCATCAACTGCCAGGTTCTAGAAAGTACACGGCGGCGTGTATATAAATATATATCACATTTCTAGTTCCGATCACCGAAGCAGAAAGTACCGAGTCACTGGACTGCGCAAGCATGCCCGTCGTCTGACACTGTGTTAAAGGGAGCCACTGCACGTGCTCATATCGCGGTCAAGAGGTCAGATTTACAAAAACAGCAGCGCACAGAATGCGATTATTGATATGGTCAATGGCAACAAAGTGATAGGGAAGGCACCATTTTGTTTACGACAATTGTGGTCTATCGAGTTTGCGCTGGAGATAATCATTCTATGGAGATAATCAAGGAGCGCCAAAAGTGCATGCACCGTCACAGCGCTTGTCGTTTTTGCGCGTTTCTAAACCAGGTCACGCAAATCCGATGCACCTTGACCCTACGCTTTTTTTCTTTTTTTTGCGTGATTGGTTTAGTTGGTGATAGCAAGCGCCGTGACTATACACTTTTTTGGCGCTGTTTATTGGCTCTTAAGATCGTCGGGCCGGGTGAGGTCGGACTTGGAGTGAAACGAACGATATAGTTACGTCAACTTTTAAACACCGGTGCATAAGACGCGTCGAGAACCCACTGTCAGAAAATTACGGATATGATTGCGTCATGTCAATTATTACTCGTGTTTTCTTTTTTTTTTTTTTTTTTGTTTTGCTTTTGCGCAGATGTTGTTTATCGGTTGGATTACATGTAAAACTGTAGCGCTCGAGTGTGCCGAAAGAGCATTGCACGCAAACCAAAGCAAGATAAGCCGTTCATAACCCGCGTTGCGGGCAATGTATAAGGATCCAAGGCACATAGAAGGCGTATAATTAGTAATAATGATTCATAGATAATCACAAATGGGAAGAAACAATCGAAACCAGAGACCTTCGCCAAGGAGCTCAACAGGATTTGAACCCCGGACCACGAGATCCTCAGTCCGACATCTTTGCTCATGGAAAACAAATGGAAGACGAACCAGAGCGCAAGCATCTGGAGAAAGTATACGACTTGCGACCGACATTCGCCTGCGGCAGCACGCGAATGTTCGCCGCGAGTGATACTTAGTCCAGAGTACTTTGTTAACCATGCTTAGTCCGCAGGCGACGATCGGAGGAAAAGTTAAACTTAGTCGAGCACGCTTGGTCTGAGGTCGACCGACTTCGCCGAGTAGCACTTAGTCCCGCGTACTTAGTATGCAGGCCCGGGGGGTCACACTTAGCCCTGCGCACTTTGTCCGCAGAGGACCGTCGGTGGCGATTCATACCTGGTCCAACAAGCTCAGTTTTCAGGCGACCCTCGGCGTCCAGTCACACTTAGTCCACTATATAGTTTGAATAGGCGACAGTTGGCGGCAAGTTATACTTAGTCCAGCATACTCAGTCGCAGAGACCATCGGCGCGCGCAGTTGGTTCCGGACCAGCCTTCGCTTGCCACATGGAGTCACGACGTCACAGGATGAATCATGACGTACAAAGGAATGGTGCAGCCGGTTTATGACGTCTGAACTTCATACAAAGGTCAATTGATAGTCATGGGCGCAATAAACCTCCTCCCCTCGAGGTAAACCTCCTCCACCCATTAGGGAAACGGAATTATAGTGTATCAGGAGCAGGAATTAAAACCTGCTCCTGATACACTCTATACTCTATTTGTGAAGAAATTGAAACCTGTCTTGATCATTTTAATGAACTCATCAGTAGCGAGAGTTTGTCGCGTGTGCAGCGCATCTGAAACCACAACCAGAGCTCTCGGTATCCAAGCACAGTAGATCACAATGCACGCATAATACACGCACGACATATTCTGTGTTCTCCAGGTATACCGAAATGATGATGCAATTTTTTTGTTTTTAATCTTTTGGAGTTGATTTTGTATTCATAAGCCGACTACTCGAACCCTATTTTTTTAGCAACTATTCTTTTTTTTCTATTTTTTCAAACCCCGTTTTCAGACATTTGAAGAACATTTTTTTGCTGTCAAAAACGGTGGTCAGCGATCTACCCGCACTGAGCAAGAGAGTGACCAGCTCCTTTATGGTGTCCAAATTGTACTATAAATTGTTTGACGGACGGTAAGTGATTTTACGGCGATAGCCATCATTACATTATTGGTTAGCTTTGATGTGTGTGTGTGTGTGTGTGTGCGTGTGTTTTTTTGTTTTGTTTTTTGCGTAGGTCGCGGCGGCTAAATGTAGCAGACACATTTCTCCACTAGGTTTACTGAAAATATTTCTAGGATAAATTTAGTGGACAGTGCTCATGCGATAGTTTCATGTCACGTGACACTTGACTTCTTCCCTAAATTGAGCGGAAATATTTCTGCATTAAATTTAGCTGAAACATTTGTTCACTAGGTGTACGGGAGTTTTCGTTTTCAGCTAAAATTTATCGAAAATAGTTCTTAGTAAATTTAATAGACGATACGAAAATAGGAAGTTTTCGTAGACCACGTTTCGCCTCCGCTAAGCTCTCCGCAACGAAGAAGCCGTTACTGCGCCTGCGTGCCGATTGCCTTCACTGTAAAGTTCCAGGGTATCGTAGCTGGTTGCGGGCCGGCGAAAACGATCAACGAAAACTCCCTAATGACTTCACGTGGCAAGATGACTACGTGACTTCTCCGCTAAATTTTTCGGAATGACTTAACAGCTAAATTTACCGGAATGTTTCGTCGCTAAATTTTGCACGAATTTAGTCGAACGAAACGTCGTAATGCCACGTGATGTCTCAGTGTAGCGTGAACACCGCCTGCTAAGTTTTATCTTGACGCCATTCTGCTAAATTTAAACACGCCAGTGTGGGTGTGGGCAGCATACGCTTCTGTTCGTAACAATGGGAAGTTGGTGTCCGACGAAGCACACCAATTCGTGAGGATGATTGGCGTCATCTACGGGAATCTGGCCACATATTTCTATTGCAAGTTTTGAACAACACAACGGTTAGATCTCAAAATTTGCTATCTAGTCCTGACCGCTGGCACTATATTTGAGCGAAGATATCGTTTTCTGGGATGCATAGTTTTGAATGCTTAGATGGGCCAGTTTGGTACATCGTGGGAAAATAAGCGCCAAAAAAACACGGACAAAGAGTAGATTGACAACGACACAGGGCGCACTCTCAACTGAATTTATTAGGAAAAAACACAAACTTATATACCAATGGGAGCACACTATCAGACACCACACGTCACGTTAGTCTCCGCCCAGACCACGTTTCAAATATTCACTCATTCGTAGACAGAGTTTGAATATTTGAAACGTGGTCTGGGTGGAGACTAACGTGACGTGTGGTGTCTGATAGTGTGCTCCCATTGGTATATAAGTTTGTGTTTTTTCCTAATAAATTCAGTTGAGAGTGCGCCCTGTGTCGTTGTCAATCTACTCTTTGTCCGTGTTTTTTTGGCGCTTATTTTCCCGCATAGTTTTGATTTCGTAACAAAAGAAAAACTTGTTGGTTTTTGTTGTTGTTGTTATTTGTTTGTTTTTGGAGGGTTTGGGAGCCGGGGGGGAAGGGGGGGGGGGGGGGCGGTGGCACACACGGTGTGCCTCAAAACAAACCTGAAGCAGAGTCTTAATTACTGAATTCTACTCTTGGTTTTGGCGCGCCCCGGGGTGGACTTTTTTGGAGCGCGCGTTCCGCCACTGGTCGTTTGGGATCAACCCGGATGAGTTTCGTTCGTCGTTTTGGAGCAGCGCCTACTCCAGATCTCAGTTCGGAGCGCTCAGATCTCGATCTGTCGATTTTTCTGGAGCCGAGCGGAAGCCGATCTTTGGGGGCACGTGCCTTGCTGCCTCGCCGAGCATGACGGGAACGGCGGACGACCGACGGCGGTTCGGAGTATGCACGCGCTTTCCGCAAACGACGAGAGCCCAGCGCGATGTGGAATGCCGGGAAGACAGCCGGCCACTCCAGGAGGCTTGCCGTTTTCCGCTGGTGGAGTCAGAGGCGCGGTGGCTCCACGCGGATCGCATCCTCCATAACGCATTTAGGCTAGCAATTCAAGACTACCAGTGGAATAAGGCATACGGCTGTGTAAAAGAAAGCGCTATACCTTGTTTCACCATAATTCCGGACGCACGCCGACGCTACAAACTAATGCGACCAACCAGACAGCTTTAAAACCGCAAGTAACTGACCCTTCTCTGTACATGATTGATTTAGCGATGATAGAACATGTACAAAACTCTGACGAACAACATGTTAGCGCGCTTTTGAGGCTGCTTGATTGATTAAATCAGCTCGTAGCATCGGTTACGCCCGTACTTGCGGTAGAACAAACTATACCAAAGCTAGCCGCACGAAGTGGAATGACGCGTGAAGTTGAGCCTCAAGAGCTCGTCTGTGCAAAAAGCCACTGGATCCTGGGAACGTTGCGTCGTATTGTCGCCATTTTGGTTCATGGAATGATCAGTTTCTCCCCTGGCCTCTTCATCCTCGGTGAACCGACCCAAATCCCGGTGACAGGTTCCGTTATAAAGACATTTCTTGAAGACCGAGATTTTTTTTGTCCACACAGGAGCGAAACAAGTGCATAACTTCGCACCGCTATGACATGCAGCGTCGTTGTTTGGCGGCATTCAAAAATATTTTTCCTGTCATGAATTAGTCAAGAACACTAACCCCATTGTGAGGGATCTGTTGAGATAAGCATATTTGATAAGTTGAATGCATTCCCAGTGCTAAAGACGCTTATATTCGCAAGGGACGCCTTTAGTACGATCATGCTTTATGGCGATCTTGGCGCGACTGGTTCAGGATGACCCTTTCGAAGCTCTCGACAATTTGAATGGACAGAAATGGCGATTGCCATGGCACCTGAGAGCGATCATCCAATCACCTTGCCAGGTTTGGTCGTCTGCATGTTAGTATCTGCTTGTTTCCGACTAGTACGCAGGGAAGGTAATTGCGCAACATTCTCTGGATTCAGTGACTTGGGTCCGCCCCAGGATTGGCAGCCTTTCCTTTTCACAGTCTTAGGTAAGACTCTGTGGTAAGCCTGTCTTGAAGCTTGTGTTTCGTTTTTGAGACTCGCCTCATACGCGCCAATTGTTCCCAGTGTCTTGACGTCGCACCACCAGTAACACGGGCCCCCGCGTTCAGAAGCGGCAACAAATTGCTACGATTCGTCATCGTGATCATATAACTTAATTTCTTGCACTATTTAGGCACGCGGTAACGGGCCAAAAAACGTGCTTCTATATCCTTAAATGGCGTTGGCAATACTAACTCATCTCCATGAACAGATTTAGCCACGGGAACGATCCATTTCAAATCAGGATCAGGTTACACCCCGTCTTTATACTCAGTAACGTCTGGCGTCCCTCAGGGAAGCGTTCTTGGCCCTCTTCTTTTTTTAATCTACATTAATGATCTCCACCATGGCATCACTTCTGAAGTACGTTTGTTCGCCGATGACTGTGTCATATATAGACCCATTCATTCACGCCACGATCAGCTAACCTTGCAAAACGATCTCCAACTTATAATTCAGTGGTGTCGTAAATGGCAAATGGCTTTAAACTATAATAAATGTAAATCGCTATCTTTTTCCCGCAGTTCACATGTTCTATCCTCCTCTTACCACTTTTCTGGCATCCCAGTAACTGCTTGTTCATCGTATAAATATCTAGGAATTCATCTGACATCTGACCTGTCATGGACCGCTCATATAACAACTGTCATCGTCGATGCTAACCGCACTCTCGGATTTCTTCGCCGTAACCTCAGACAAGCTACATCCACCGTAAAACAACTAGCTTATACTACCTTGGTCAGAACTAAACTAGAATTCGCTTCTTCCATATGGTCACCGTGGCAGGCATACCTAACTAACAACCTGGAATCCGTTCAAAGCAGGGCCCTCCGTTTTATTTATTCCGACTATTCCCCATACGCAAGCATATCAGGACTTCGCCAATCAGCTAACCTTGACACTCTTTCCCACCGCCGCAGGGTGTCTCGTCTTTCTCTTCTTCATCGGATCTTTTATTACAACAGTCATCTCAGACAAAGTTTGTTATCACCGCCTTACCGCATTTTCCCTCGTCTCGACCATTCTTGTAAACTCCGTCCGATTACATCGTCAACCGTCACTCACCAAATGTCTACTTTACCATTGGCCATTGACGACTGGAACTCACTGCCTGACGTAATTGTTACCTTATCTGATACTAAGAAATTTTCTGCAGCCGTTAGCTTATTTTTTCTAACCCATAACTAGATTACAGCGTGTTTTCGTAGATAAATAGTTTTGTTACTTGTTTGTTTTTTAAGTGTTCACTCCGTTGTGTAATGCCCCCTGGGCCTTCAAGGAATAATAAATGATGATGATGATGATGATCATCCCAGCCACATGGTTGTAACGTGAAAAAAATCGCCTCCCTGATTGGCTGCTGCCGCTTTCAAACGCCTCCGAATTGGCTGACTTGCTCGTCCATTTCGAGCCGGAAACTGTCCCGGAAATTATTGTTGCAGCGCGAGAATCTGGGAAAAGCTTGGGAACAACTCGCCAACAACCTCGAAACTGCTGGGAAAATCGCCCCGTCTGAAGCTGGCCTTAGTGTATATACGTGGCTCGCATTGACATTCCACCCATTACACGAACTGCCATTGTAATAGCCTGGCTGCTGGACGCGTACATCGCGCAGCACATATTTTTGCACCGCTGAATCCGTTTCTTTGCTTGAGAAAACGTAAACGTGACCGCCAGCACGGTACGATGACGTTGCGTATACAAGCAATGTATCGGCGTTCCGTTCCCCCCCTTTCATGTGGGCGCTGCCACCTTCGCGCTCGGTGCGGAGTGGGCGCCATTTTTGGTCACTACAATTCAAGAATGCGACTTTCTGAACTTCAGATATACGTATATTTACGATGTCAGGAAGTTCAGGCGACATCAATTTGCTGCGTTGTTCTGCATTTTGCAGATATTGTTTCCTGCGACTTCTGCAAATTGCCTTCTGATCACCAGAAACCGAATGATTTTACGAACCAAGATGGCTGAACTGTGTATACTCTAAAGCGCGGTTTATTTGTACTTTGTTTCACATTAAGCCCGACAGCCAGCATCCGATACAGACAATCGAGCAGCGGCGGCAAAAGTGTACCGTCATGACACTCGTCGTCTTTTCTCTGTTTGCCATCACCGCGGTTAAACCAATCACGCACAATCAATGTGTGTCGTCATCCTGCGCTCTTTTTTTTTTCCCTCTGCGCGATTGGCCCATCCAGTGATACCAAACGCATGCAAGAAACGACGAGAGCCACGAGGATGCACATATGACGCTACGCTTGATCGGCTACGTCGGATCGCACTTCGGCCTCCGGGCGCCGCCATCTTGCTGGTGTGGGTAGATCGTCTGATAGCCAAGCATTGCTGAGGCCGTGGGTATGTACGCCTCAGCAATGCTTGACTATCAGACGGCCTACCCACACCGGAAGCAAGATGGCGGCGCAGAGAGGCCGCCCTTCCACCCTTTCGTGAACATCGTGGTCTGACGTGACTTGCTAACGTCTATAGTGACTCCAGAGACAGCTATTCCACTCTTTTATTAACATCGTGATCTGTCGTGTGGGGCATTAACGGTTGCATATCGTTCTCAGCAAGGGGACCACAAGCAAGACCCGGTTCACCATGGCCATCCTGAGCGTACTCTGGAGCGACCTCTTTTGGGTGACCGTGGTGACATTCACCTACTTCGGCTGTCTCATTGCGAGGATACCCATTTTGGAGTAAGTTGGCTAGGCCTCGAACCACACTGAATGTAGTGCCAAATGAAGGTAAGCTTCGGTAGGTTTTCTTTTCAGCTAGCCAAACTAAACGCATTTTCGGAATAGCCAGGCTCTCCTCTTACTGCATGTTATTTATTGCGAGAAACAATGGTACGCAGGCGAGCTGGTTAAAAACATCATAATCTAAACCCTGAGACACAGAGGAAAAAAATCACGGACAAGACGACACAAAAAATTTGGGCCGTCTTGTCCGTTATTTAATTCTCTGAGTCTCAGTGTTTAGTTTAAGAGGATATTTTTTTTTTTTAAATTTAAAATAGCTGTGGAGAAAGCGGTAAAGCAGGGTGATGGCCAAACCATCATTCGAATTTCCCCGCGCTCTGCAGTGGTATGACATCATTGCGGGCATTGAAGACGAACAGACAAGACGGGCTTTCGTCTTGCCTGTTTTTCTTCAATGTTCATCTTTCCTAATCGTAAACTTTTTTTTTTTTTTTTTAACGAGGTACGTTTATTCGTTAATGTCTTCACTCTAAGCTCCTCCCTGCAGCCTGGCCGTATCTCTGTAGTAAATCGCAGCGCGATACGTTGAGAATCCGATTTTTGCGGACCGGTTAAATTGGGTTGGAAGCGTTAGAGCAAATGCTGTATTGTAAAAACATACCTCAGGTTCAGTTTTTGAAGCATGAATTTTTTTTTTTAATGGAACCCCATCGTAAAATTTTGTCCGTGAGTCCGTGCATTTCCCGCCAAATTTAGTGGCGAAACTAAACTGGTGTTTGTCACATGACGTCAATTAATGTCACGTGACCTGGCGTTACGTGGCGTATACATGAATTAAGTTTCCCCGCTGAATTTAGCGGAAAAATAGAGTAGCCTGAGTTGACGTCCCGTGACATATAAACCAATTCCCTTTCACGCTAAATTTAGCGGGAAGTTTATTGTCACGTGAGCGGTCTTCATGAGACTTGTACACCAATTTAGTTTCCCTATGTAGTGGATGAAAGGTTGACATAGATCACGATGCAAGATGCCAGACACACTCACGCCGCATCTTCGCTCTTATTCTTTTCAGAAAAAAAAATGCACATAAAATAGTGGTTCTGTAATTCGCTGCCGCCACCCCTTCGTGCGCCCTCTGCATTACTCACCTCTCCCCGCTTTCAGAACGCAGGACCGGATACTTTACCAGGAGAATCCATTCTGCTGCGTTCATTTCCATTAGACAGCGCGCCTATAGCGCCATATCCTCCCCTAGCGGTGGCTACAGCCGATTTTCCAAGAGAACGCTTCGGCATCGCGCTGTCCACGCTGTGGCGCTTTCGCGCTGCACCGAGAGAGAGGGCTGCTGCCGACGCACCGAAATACCGGATTCGCCCAGGCAGCAGGGACGGCTGCCTCTGCCGCCTCGACAGGCTTCCACAACAGAGAATTGAGGCTGTCTCCCCCACCGAGCCTGCGCGCGTTTAAACGTTCCAACTGCGCAAAAGCTGTCGGCGCCAAGGCCATTCGATTTTAGCCGAGGAAGATGTATTCTCTGGTAAAGTATTCGGCTAAACTGACCGACTTGTAGTACAGAGAAGGCTATGGGTGAGCAGGTTAGAATTTGATCGCTGCTTTAGTTGCAGTGCCGTTGGACAATGTATACCTATGTGCACAGGTCAATAAACCCTTGAGTTCATTCGCAGGAGCCTGATCACCGACAGCAGCAGTTCGCAACTAGGCACACTGTCTGTTCTCTTCCTGGCCACTTGCGTTGGAGAGTCGCTGCTATCCTGCTACCAGCTCCATCTCTGCATGCGCTTTGGACTACGAATTCGATCTATGCTCCAGGCGGCCATGTTCCAAAAGGTTTTTAATATCGAGTTATCTTCTTTTTGAATTTTAACCCAAAATCAGTTGTCCTTTTTTAACGTAGAGTACTTTCTTTTGCTTCCGCGGTGATTTTGAAATAAAATGTACGTCACGAAGGAAATGTTCTTTCAGAGGCAGATATAAAACCATGGCCACATGTAACTTAACAAAGAAATGTTTCGCCACGGACGACACTGATTATTATATACAGTTGACCCGCCGTAGAATAAACATATCAAAACTGTCAGACGCGTGATCTAGGGTGTCGTAACAATAATAATACAGAAAAAACCAAAGGTATACTGTGTTATGTAAGAAATTTAAATTATCCTATCTACGAAATAATTTTAAAAGAACACAAGTTCTCCAATTGATTTTTTTAACTCGTGAAAGCGCCCTCTGCAGCTATGAAGGACTAACTACCATTTTATGTTTCGGTATTGTTGTTTCATTGTCAAAGATGGCGTCCCCCATAGTATTTTGGTTTGCTTGGGTCCTCGCGTTCACCGGCATTCGCCGGCATTGCACTTCGCTTTCTTGTGGCGTGCCCACCATTGGACAACCACAGGTGATCACTTACAACAAGTGAAGTTCTTTCGCGCAGTCAACTGTTTATTTCGACTTTATGCGTAATAAATATCGCCATAAACGTTATAAGCAGCGCATACATTGATGCGATACCCGGCAAAAATATTAAGTGATATCACTGGCAGATGCTATTGGAGGCCAGACAAATTTAAAGAACTTGTAAAAAATATAATGGTTTCTCAGATATTATTTAATTAATTTCTGCGTTTTTACACGCTTTAAGGATTTAACGCCCAATGAGCGCCCAAGTCCCGATCACAACGACTATCAGAACATTCCCGAAGTCGTTTCAGTCGCGTCGTCACTCCTGTCGTCAGTGCACCCACCATGACGGCATGATTGAAACCACTACGTAACTCATCAAAGTGTTTTAAGGTAGTTAGTTGGGCGAGTTGGTAATGATTCAACATGGTTAAAATTGCGCACAAACAGAAAGGAACAGACGAGAGAGAAAAGAAAAGCGAAAACTCACAGTGAGTTTGCGCTTGTCTTTTCTCTCTCATATGCTATTTTCTATTTTTGCAAAATTTTAACCACGTTTTATCAAACTGTCATTGTGGGCAGGCCTAGGGACGCTCTTTTTGAGCAAACTTTTGTGAGGAAATGAAACGCGAAAACTTATCAATATGTGAAAAACCGTTACCTGTTTGCAAATTCTATACCATAAAAACAGCAACTTCAACATAACTACTGAAAGCAATAATTAAAATTTAACTAACCGATTTTAGTTTATTATTCGATTTATTCTGACAATTATCTCATCATCTAAGGTCCGCCGAGCCTGACAAATACAAGATAAAGACGGAAGATTCCTTAACCCTCGCCCACTTTTTCTCTTATTCTATACGAATAAAAAAAACACAAAACGGGAAAATAGGCATTAAACCCTTTTTTCCCGTTTTATACAACACATCCCCCCCCCCCCCCCCTTTGTCTTTGGAATGTAGCTCTAGCCCAAGATCTGTAATTTGGGGTGAATGCAATGCACAGGACATTCATCACCCTTAAGAAATATAGATGGCACAGACAACCTATTCCACCTTCATATAGGTTTTCGCAACTTTCATTACCTATTGGGGCGCACTGGCGCCAACAAAAATGGCTGTCATCTGGATGATCATCGTAGAACAGCAGTACGAGTTTGGGTCTGCGACGCTTGAGTAATTCTAGTTTTGCTATATACGAGCAGCATTAAAGCTTCACTTTATTTTTTTTTTTTTTTTTTATTCAGGAAAGTGTAGGGAAGTCTCTTAATCGTAAAGCCGATTATCTAGGAGCTAGGGAGCGAAATTTTCACACCGCGGTACCACCATCGCTGAGAGTTGCGAGTTCATAGGCCCAAAACAGCCGATTGCTCTACATTTCTAGTTCAATTCAGCCATCATCGAAGCTCCTAACATGATAACCAAGATCGTTAGCAAAGAGCATGCACGCGCGCTTTAGCAGTGCAATTGCTGATTAAACTCTTATTTCTTGGCCAGATTACACTCTAAAAAAGCGCGTGAGTCTACTTTCCCGCACAACACTAGGAAAGCCAATCAGCGAAGCTTACGGAGGCGGCTCAGCGAATGACGATTGCGAAACATGTGTTTGGAACAAAAAAACGCAGCTTTAATTGTAACATTAAGCAATGGCAAGCGTGACATTTTGCATTGCTTAAGGTAACAACTCAGACTGCGTTTTTTGGTCTAAACATATGTTTTGACATCGTCATTCGCTGAATTGCCTTCGTAAGTTGCGGTGATTGGCTCTCCGAGTGCTGTGCGAAAAAGTAGCACTGGCTTTTTTTCCTTTTTTCTTTTCTTTTTCAGAGTGTAGTGACTTTGAAGCCTAATAAAAGTTATTTATTCTTGTAATCTCTTCTCTGTGACAAATTATGGCTTAATATTCGCTACACATTATATCTAGAGTTGTAAAAAAGCTACTAAAAACTAGATCATGTTTGTGTAGTCATTGAATGGGCTTTCCTTGCGAGATAGCCGGTGTAAAAAAACAAGCGTAGGATGGGTATATGACACGGCCGCAAGTTTTAATCGTTACAATGTGAACTTGCGTGTCTAGTAAAATGAAACGGATGTATCGAATATAACATATTTATTTTTTCAGCAATAGTTGTTACGGGCTCTTCCCACACCTGGTAATGACGTTTGTTGTTGATTATGTAGTAGTCTGCACTCTCACGCGTTCAGCAGCGGCCAAGCATGAATGCCGATGTGTGCCAAATTCTTGTGCTCTCGCGACCGTTTTGGAGAGGGTCACCCTAATCCGGCCTGGCGCGTATTGTCAACGTTTTACGTTACAATAAAAAGCATTCAGTAGGTTGAAGAAAGTATGAAGCTGGCCATGTTGCGTCGGCGCATGCAAGCGGTTCCTCGTGACTGTTCGTATTACTGCGGGGGGTAATTTTTTTTTTTTTTTTTTTTTTGCTTTGCCAGGGGCTGGAACGCGTACTTCGTCACGACGAGGGTCCTTTGGACACGTGATTCTTTCGGACCCACCGAAAGATTTTAAAAAATCAGTAGCCTAACCCGATTCACGAGAACAGAAGCCTCGGCGCCCGCGACTACTTCCGCAAGTGACGGAACAAGCGAGAAACGAGATGGACCTTTCATGACGTAGTGGCGCGTCACGGGTGACTAGCCAATGGCGTGCAATCGCTTGTGTTTTGTTCGTTTTTTTTTGTGTTTTTTTCTTGCGTGTAGTGATAATTTTGGGTCGAACGATTGTGATATTTGGAGTCAGCAGGCACAAACACGTCATAATCAACCATTAGCTCTTTTTTTTTTTTTTTTTTTTTTTTTTTGTCGAAAAGCTCTTTAGCTTTTCTTTAACGGGAAACGAAGTATAGGAATCAAGGAAATTATAAAGTATATTTTAGGGTTTTTACGTACCAACCCAAAAGAGGGCATCTGGCACGCCCCAGCGGAGCGGAGGAATGGCAATTAATGTCGACCGCCTGGGGACCTTTGGAAGCGCAACAGAACTCTCGGTCACACGGCGAATTCGAGGGAATGAGCCCCCGTCAGATTGCTGGCACCTCGGTTGGGATTCGAACCCACCACCTGGGGATCGATCCATAGGCAGGCGCTTTGCCTCGGGACCCACGAGGTGGCAGCGATTAAATATAACAAACGGTAAGCCGTCAAATTTTCGAGATAAAACTCACGTCTGCTTTACATTCCTCCGCTCAGATGACTCGGCTGTCTCCCTCCTCGAGGGCGCAGTACCCTGCGGGTCAGATCGTGTCCATCCTCGGCGTGGACTGCATGCAGCTCTCGTTCAGCATCACCATGTTCCCGCTGCCCTTGATCGGCGTCGTCTGCTCGCCGCTCATCTTCTACATGCTCTCGGCGCGAGTGGGAGTCTGGCCCGCCGTCTCGTGTGCCGCCTGGTTTCTCTTCACCATCCTGCTGCCCATTCCGATGTCCAGGGTTCAAAACGCGCTATGGGTAAGCAGCCCGACTCGCATACGTGCCAGCTTGAGGCGCACTCACACTCCTTGTTCGCCACACGAAAGAAACGGTGTTCGGAGAAAACGGGATGGCAGAATCACCTGGGTACACATTCAAGCATATTAAAAGCATGTCTGCTTCGTACATATGTGGGCTCGAACATGTCCGAAGAGTTGTAACGCATGAAAAGCTTATTAACGCTACTATCTATCCCAAAATTGTGTCAGTCCGTCCTATCGTCCGCGCATTTCCCGCTAAATTTAGAGAGGGAATTGACACAACGCGACCTATACACGAATTCCACTTCTCAGCTAAATTTGGCAGGAAAATCGAAGTTACGTGACCTAACGTCACGGGACACACAGACCGATTCAGCTTCCCCCCTAAGTTGAGCGAAAAAATTGGTGTCACGTGACCTGTACACCACTTCAGTTTCCTCGCTATATTTAGCGGGAAAACATACGTCACGTGACACACGAGTTTCCTCTAATGCGTTCCATTCATTAAAGGAGTTTGAAGGTAAATGTCGCTGCCAATTTTTTGTATGACCAACGTGGCGGGACTATCAATCGAGGAATACGTACGTACCAGACAGTGTTTGCATACTTTCTTTTGCATGGTGTATAGTGTGTCTGAAGTCACCAGGCTCGACCTAAAATGGACCGTAAAAACCGGCGCCTGCACAAAGCAATCTAAACTTTTCGTCCAAGGTGTATTTTACAGCTCCGTTTTTTTCTTGGGAAATTACGAAGCGTAGCTCTCTTTCTCTAGAAAAAATAGGCCCAAAAACTTTCCAGGGTCAACGGCGGGCGGTGACGCAGATGACTGAGTTGAGCGGCTGGGCTGGTTTGGCGCACGTATTGCTGGATGGCGTCGAGAGCAGCGTCGAAAGGTGTAGCCAACCAGCGAAAGAAAGCAGACGACACGCAGACGAAATCCGTCGGCAGCAAGAACGCCGTCATATAAAACCGATTTTTTCTTTTTTCACTTTAAGTTTAGTTTTTATTGTCTGCATTTGTTTTTAAACCAATGGTATACTACAAAAAAAGATTATCTTGATTTTAATAAATCGCGGTCGTCCCGAGCAGTCTCGATAAAGAGGTAGCGCCATCTATCAATACATGCACCAAGCGTGCCCCGCCGCTCGACTCAGTCGTCTGTGTCGCCACCCGCCGTTAATCCTAACAAATTCTTTGGCCCTATTTTTTTTTTTTTTTTACAGAAAGGAAGTTACGCTTTGTAATTTTACAAGAAAAAACGATCCGGTGAATTACGCCTTTGTCGGTAAGTTGTATACGGTATAGACACTTTACACACGCGCTAGATTGAGCCGCCATAGCCGCCCTTCTCTTGTCTTACCGAGATGCCGAGCCACTGAAGCGGGCGTTGACGGGTCTTCACAAGGGCCTATGCTGGGCACAAGAACACAGTAGCATCTAAAATGGCAATAACCTGTGCTGCTGTGGTAATGATGAAGTGAAGCGAACGGAATAAGAGGGAACAAAAACTGAAGGTCAGTTATGGCGGCGCCCATGCACAGCTGCTGTAAAGCGTCTATACAAGCGTTGCGACTGCGGCATCAGTAAGTAAGTCTTCTTTTCCTCCTCGTATACTCGGGATAAACACGTTGCTGTATACAAACGGAACTGCTTGCTGGTTTCCGTTTAGAACTCTATGCGGCACGGGGCGATAGACGGGAGTAGGACACGGCAAATCATAAACACTGACATCGGTAATCACGAAAAAAAATTAAACACGTTTACAGCTCCCTGTAATGCCGAATTAGAGCGCAGCTCTTGAGGAGGAAAAGGGGAGGGTATGCCCCTCCTCCTTTTCCGTGCCCTCTTCTCCTCCTCCATCTCCTCCACCCCCTCCCTCCCTCTCGCTCGTGCCCTCACTCGTGAACCTCGTTACGAGTGAAGGTTACGAGTGAAGGAAGGAACGTTACGAGTGAGGACCTTCACGAGTGAAGACCCTCACCCGTGAAGGTCATGACCTTCACTAGTGACCTTCGTTATGTCACACGTGACGTCACATGTGACGTCATTGTGGGAAACGTCCCATAATGCAACGCGCGGTTACGCCGACGGCGACGGCGAAGCCGCTCAAGCCGGGAACGGGCGCCTAAGAGAAAGAGAGCGACAGAAGTGCGGGGAAAGAAAGCAAACGACAGCTTGGGCGTGTTCGCTTTTCCGCAACGACATCGAGTTATTAGAATGTTTGACAACCTTATTGTTTTTTTGTACAATGCGGGAACGCCGGTGATTTTGTGGAAAATACAGCTAGAAACCAGCGAGGTAAAAGCCTGGAAAGCGGTGTTTCGTCGCTTTATGCAAACGCAAGCGTCGCCAGCAATAAGTGTCCACTGGAACCACCAATGTCCACGTCTAAGCGCCGCTGCTACGAAGCGACTGAAATGCATGAGAAGCTGGAAGACCTTTTAATACAGATCACTGTTTAAAACTATGCTATGCGGAGAGAAATCGAGGAAGAATAAGGCGGTTTGAACCGAGTTACGTTGGTGCAACACGTGCGTGTAACTCGAACGCCGCAACCGTCTCCTTCCAGTCGGGACGAACAAGGGCGTCGTTTCCCCTTCGTACAGTGCCTCGCGTTCGAACGCCAGACACTTGCGTTCGATGTTCGAATGCCTTCAAACAGTTGGTGCACAATGCAGGGGAAGGCAGCTAGCCTTTGCGTGTACCTCTAGTCTTCTAATCGCAGATCGGCGCTCTGCTCTCGCCACGCTTTGATCTCCTCCTCTCTCAGTTTCTCTTCGCGTAGTGTCTGCAATGGGTTACGAGCACCAAAGGTCTTGACATAAACTACAAGTTCAAAATTCTTGCTGCCTAAGCTTTTTTCTTTTCTTTTTCAAGTTCAGATGACTAAGGTTAGAATGGGCGTGCTAACGCTACCGGAGTAATTGATTTATTTTTCTTAAATAAAACATTAGAAACACTAGAGCAATGTACGACTAAGCTCGCTTTTTTTAGGGCGAAAGCCATGCTTGTCTCATTGTGCGAAAAATCGGAGTAAATGGCCATAAAAATGCGATTGCGCGGCACGCGCCACTAAATGGTATGCTCAAGGACGACGCTTCCCTTGAGGTCGTCCTTGCGGTCGTCATACAAGTCATCCTAGATCTCTAGGACGACCTCACTTGTCCCATTACGTGAAAAACACGCGACGTCGGCGTCGTTGTGCCCGGAAGATGGCCATAAAAATACGTCATCAAGCGTCATCAGCGTGATGTCATCAAGGGTCATGATACGTCATCAGCGTGATGCCACCGCCGGAGCGCCGCATGCAAAAAGGGGCGCTTCGGACTTCATCTGTGTGTGTCGTAAGATGGACTGTGAGGCGACCGCGTCTGCATCTACGCCCTCGACATCGGCAGCAGTGTCTTTATCTACGGCGGCTTCCGCAGGCAAACGTGGCCTCTCACGCAAATATGCCACAGCCTCCTTAAATGTCCTCCTCTTGGAGTCGTTCTCGACGTCGTCCTAGACGTCGTCCTAGAAGTTATCTCAGACGTTGTCCTAGACGTCGTTCTTGAGGTCGTCCTAGACCCCGTCCTCGACGTCATCCTAGAGGTCGTTTTAGATGCCGTACTTGGCGTCGATCTCTAGGAAGTCGTCCTATACGTCGTCCTAAACTTTAACACGCGGAGATACATTACTTGAAAACATTTTTCCGTGGGACTGTAATGCTCTCGCCTTCCTTCACGTAAGCAGTCTTAAGTGTACTCGTATCATTTTTTCTACGTGAGTATTATGAATCCACAAATAGATGTTTGTGGATGCATAATATTTATGGATCCATAACAGGCGTCTGATGACCCGAACCTACCTTTAACTTTTTTATAAAATCGAAGTCTGACTCACATTTCACGACACAATTATTTACTTAGATGAGGCTTCATGGTATTTCTATATTTTGAAAATGCAGAAAGAAAATCTATTGACTTAATCAGAAATTAATATTATATTTAAAATGAAGAAACAAACGATGTTGTAAAATATTCTGGGCCTTGATTTAATAGTTCCAAGGGTGGTAATCTTATCCCAACTGCATTCTTATTTTCCTTCCTTAATTCTGTTAAATAAAATTTCTGACTGACAACTTACATTTGCATTCCTTTAAGCAGACGTAAAAAAGGCTCATAATGGTGCTTAGAAAAAAAAACATTTTCAGTTTTATCTCGCACTTTAACATTAAGTAACTTTTCAGCTATATTTTCGTTGAAACGAAAAATATATAAGTATGTCGATACAAATATCCTGTGGTATCAAACCTTTTTATAACGGGAGATCTAATCTGTCAGGAGAAAAAAAAAGTAAAATAAATTACGGTTTGCAATTATTTTTTTAACGCTGACTACAATTGTTATTTGTTTTTGTTTTTTGGTTTTGCTTTATTTCCAGCGCAGGGTTATGAAAGGACGGGACGACAGGCTGAAGCGCGTGGCGGATCTCCTGTCCTCAATCAGGCTGGTTAAGATGTACGCCTGGGAAGACGCCTACATGAATTCCGTGAAGGACCTCAGGGAAAAGGAAATGGTTCCCATCTTCCAGGTCAACCTACTGGATGGTTTCATCGATTCCTTGTACAGTGCGTCTACCTCCGTGGTGCGTAGCGTCCACTTGAATTGCAACTGTGTTGTGTGCGTGTTTAGACGGCTGAAAGTTAGTCCGCCCCATACGGGCGTTTCCTGTGTCCTTGTAATGCACGTTAAAGACCCCAGGCAAGCGGTAGGGCAGCGCACCGCCCCACCGCTTGCCTGGGGTCTTTAACGTGCATCACGCAGTAGTAATAAACGACCTCGTGCCGGTTCGATGTTCGTCCAGATTGATACGGGCAAGGGTGGGAATTGAACCTAGGGTCCCTGCGCCCGGCGGCGTACCGCAGCTCCACGTGTTCCGAGCAGCGGTGCGCTAACATGAACTGAGGAGTGGGCACAAAGAGGGCTGATACAGCGATTCGCGAAAAAGCCACTCTTAACTATTGCCGTCTTTTCTCGGGTGTCAAGCTCAGTGGATTGTTCTTCTTGATTTTGTTATAGCTGATAAACAAAAATATGTTTCTTCTAGACTCTGTCGTTCGTTGTAATACTTTTATGTTAACATTGCCCACTGACGCACTACAGACACTGTTATTTCTCCTGATATTTCCTGAGCAATGAGCTATTTGTTGATACACCGAATGAATTCCAGAATGTCTGTATTATTTTACTTGCGTGTTTCCAGTTGACCATCATACTGTTCGGAACCTTGGCCGCCCTGGACCCTACTCGAATCCTGACTCCTGCACTGTCCTTCTCCTGTATCTACATCCTGTCCTTGACGGACATGGTGACAAACTCGGCCTCCTTGACCCTCCGGATGCGCAGTCTCGTGAGCCTACTGACATTACGATAACGAAATCTTATCTGTATTCGGCCTTTATTTCTTTTTTTGCTACGTTGTCAAGGTTACGTTGTCACTGCCATGTTGTAAAGGGTACGTTGTCAAGGCTACGTTGTCACTGAGTAAGCTAGGCTTAGGATATAATAATAGTAATAATGTTAATATAAATACTGGAAAGAACATAAATCCCAAGGACGGACAAGACGTCTTGTCCGTCCTTATGTTATATGTTCTTCCCATTGCTTACATATATTATCCTTGCCAGCGCGCTCCCCATTCCAAGTAATAATGTTCATTCTCATTTTAAAGAAATGCTGATGCGGCAAAAAAAAAAAAAAATCTTTAATCCGAAGATGGACTATCCCTGAGCCCCATCGGCAGTGGTTCAAGCCCCTTTGTGCAGTTCAAACAATACACAATACATACAAACATGTGTAAACGACCACGCAAAGTGCGCTGCAATTCACAGCGGTAGCTGCTGCGTTCTGGAAAGGCGTGTTGAAAGAGATTCCCCTTCAGTTAGTGTGCCGTACAGTGGTGGCAATGTGTTCCTAGCTTTCAGGGGTATTGATATAGGAGACGTGGTGTGAGGAAATGTGTAAAAGACACAAAAACGTGCTCTTTTTTTTATCGTTTTTTTTAAATGGGAACGCCCGTTTTTGCGCCTGCGGTGTAAGATGAGAAAGCACATACGCGAGCTGTTCTGTAGAAGCGCGGTGAGCACAGGAGAACTGAACCTGGGCGGAGGCAGTGGGGAGGCCAGGGAGCGTGTCCGCAGAGGGAGATCACGTGGTTATTTCGCAACGGCGGCTGCCGGAGGGGGGCGGAGGGAGGAAGGGGGAGCGTCACCGCAGGGCACGTGGATATAGCAGGAAAGAGGGGGATACGGAGATTGCTCTCCCTATGATCGGGGGGGTTTTCTCGGAACAGCGGTGGCCTTCAGTTGAGAAAAAGGGGCGGGGGGAGCGAGCGAGCGAGGAATAGGTTTGCCGCAGTTGGCGTGTACGTGTGAGGAACGATTGGAGGTGAGGAGCGATGGGCAGATTTAACTTGAGCGATTGACTCGTAAGTTCCTGCGGGAGTTTACGTAACGAGAAAACTTGCATAACCTTGATCTTACTGACAGAATCCCTGGAGCACAGCAGGTGTCTCGCACAAACCACACACATTTTTTTTTTTTTATTTATTGTTTTGTAGGCAAGTTTTCTTTTTGTATTTTAATATTACTTTTATTTAGCGGATTTGGTGGGAAACGGACGGTACGTAGGGATGTGATGATAATGCAATTAAATGGAAAGGTGCAAGCGAGCTGGAAAAGAATGACGAAAATAATCCCTGGAGAAGGAGCACGAGGGACACAAAGGACAAACACAAATCTCCAAACAAAACTAGGTGACTATTGCGCGACCAAAAAATTCTGCCAGGGACCTCTTCACTGTACATGGAGAGGTCCCTGGTTCGATACCAGGACCAGGCGGATTTTTTCGGTCGCGCACCAGTCACCTAGCTGCGTTTAGAGATTTGTGTTTGTCCATTGTCCCTCTTGTTCCCCTTCTCCAGGGATTATTTTCGTCACGTAGAGGTCGCGTGATGTCAAATTCACCACTAAATATATTTCAGAAACTTAATTGGCATATAGGTCACGTGACCTACAGCTTCCTGACAAAATTTGGGGGAAGAATTGGCAAAAACTGACCTGACGTCCCATGTCCCATACACATCATCGATTCGAGGAAGCCGATTTGGTAAATAGGTCACATGACTTCAGTTTCCCCAGCACATTTTGCTGAAAAACTGAAGGTAACGAAACGTGAATTTACCCCTTAATTTTCTCGGAACACTCCCGGTATGTAGGTCACGTGACATCAAATTTGTCGCTAAATTTAGCAGGGAAACTATTTAGAGCATAGGTTCCGCAACGTCAACTCCCAAGCTCCTTCACGACGCTCGACCATGACGCTCGGTCATGACAATTTACTTATGAACAAAAATTCATAAAACATTCCTTGTTTAAAATAACCATACGATACAGAGGCCACAATCTGTCGTCCCCTCCACCCCTCTCGCTTACAAGACCCCCATTAGAGCTAAATGTCCATTCAGATATTATTTTGCTCTATAGACTTTCGCTGTAAAACAGGAGACGTGCTTCTTTCCTACGCAGATGTAATTGTAGTAATCTAGTTCATATATTTTTGTTGTATATTGCGACTTATTTATTTTTCATTGCAAGAGCATATGTAGTGTAGTTATCGAGTTACTGTGTATTTTTTTGTTTTTGTTTATGGTTAACTGTAACACTCTACCACTAGTCTGCCTGCTGCATCTGCTGCATCTGTTGCAAGTGTAGTCTGGTGCTAGGGGCCTGGTCAGGTGACTTACTGTCACCTTTTGCCTCAGCACCATGACAATCTTGTATTGTCAAAAGTTCCAATAAACAAACAAACAAACGCGTTCTGTGCTGGGGCTCTCAGTTTGTCACTCGGCGAGAAAGTCGGCAAGATCGCCGACCGCTGAGATTGGCCAGCGCCAAGGTCAAATACGTCGCTGACCAATCGCGGCGGTCCGCGCGATCCCGTCCGACTTTCTCTCCAAGCGTTTAACGCAAAGCCCCTGGTTGGATTCGTTTTAAGGTATCTCTCAGCATTCGAAGAGTCACCAGGTTCTGCACCGCTGAAGAACAAGAGACGCGGCCAACCAGCCACAAGGGCTACCCACAAAGGAAAGGTACGAACAGGTGCCACATGAAACGGTGCGGTACTTTTGTTAGAAAAGTGTTTCGGCCGATTATGTCTTCCACCCTTATCGGTGTTCTCCTGCGTGCAACGCGCAATAAAACTAGGTGGTGAGTATTTCGACGTTCACTTTCAAAATAATTTTCAATATCATTTTGACGTCCGACGCCACTTCCTGAAGACGGGAAAATAGTTTCAAACGCGTTTTGACGTCCCCCGTCAAAATATTTTTGTCATTATTTTGACGTCTCAAACTTAGAACTTTGGAGCGAGCTTCGAAGTCCGGACTGGGAAGCGATCGAAAGTGGCGGTAAACAGAAATATATAATCTTGGTTGTAGGCAACGTCGTCGATCGACCGTTCGACGCCCATTTTCCGAAAACAAATGTCATGCAGTACAACCATTTCGTCGTTTACCCTGAGACTGGGGGCTTTTTTTAAAGAGCTGAAGTAACAGAAAAAACAGACTCTTTTCTCGTCATGCAGTAGGCTGCTGTTCCTAAGACCTTTTAAGTGAAGTGGAATGCAAGAAAAAACTTCTCGAAGTGTGTACGGTACATCAGCTATATCAGGCCGCACGTGACGTTTGCTTTGTTGTGCTCAACATTACAGAATGCGGCACCGCTGCTCTTTATGGTTTATTTCACGTGGTTTATATAAATAAAGGAGCTGAATTCCGTGTCATAAAATTTTCCATTGACTGGAAAATCTGTGTGTCTCGTACAACCGCGCCAGAACCTATGTTGTTCGCACCGGTGGAAACACCAAGGAGAGAGTGTTGGCATTCACGACCTCTTATTTAACATCCCGATCGTTTCGTAGCAAACCCGATAGTTATACACGAACCAAACAGAAAATTTGAACTAAACAGCGAACTAACGAAACCCGGCTAAAAACAGGGCGGGCAAAGCGAGACAGCAACCGTACGACCATAGTACGATCGATGACGGGTTCGCACAATATGGAGGTACAAAAAGCGTGCCGAATTTCGCAGTGTTACGTAGTGTACGCACTTACATTTCTTACGGGCAGGCAAGGCAGAAGAATATCCAGCAAGCCTTTGTTGTAGATTACAACTTTTAAGTGAGGCTTGTGCCGAAATGACGTGCGAGCTCAGAACGTTCAGAACATCGCTGCCGAGCGTGTTACGTCCGAAAGGATGAACTGCCGAACCAGTCCCACATGCACGCTGAATAAGACATTTCCACTGTTTACTAAGACCGAAACTTCTTAGGCACGCAACCCATGAATCCGTCATAGCACCGACAGCACCATCAGAAACTAAGCAGAATAAAACTACGAAACGGCTACCACCACTACCACTGCGACGGCTGCGGTGAATGGTGTCGTCGAAATAATAAAGCCACTGTTTCGATATTTTACGGAAGTGACGTCTCAGACGTCGAAATAATTTTGAAGACATTTTTACGGTGGGCGTCGAAATAGTGACTGCCATAGAACTACGACGTGCAATAAAACCTAGGGTTATTTGGCTTACAAAAAATATTGTCTTAGGCGATTCAATCCTTAACGTCTGAGAAGCTTCTTCCTCGAAAAAAAAATTATTTACGAAATAAAAGTTTCTTGGACACTCAACTATAAACCTTTTTTTTTTTTCGTTTTTCTTTTTTTTTTTTTCTTTTTTTTCTTCTCAGAACGGTCTTTATGCCGATGAAGTATCCATGTCCGCCGTTATATTTCATGGTTGATTTTTTTTTTTTTTTTTATTTGCTGGGGTTGCTTTTAATATTCGAATTACGTATTCATACTTCTGAAGTACTCTGAGCTGGACAATTATACCAACTGACAGGTTAAAAAAAGTAGGACGTGGCCTAAAATGTCCAAGCTTCTCACCTCATGATCACTTCTCGTGCGTTATTTATTATCACCTAATTACGCAATCTTACTGACAGCAAATTCCAGCATTTAGGTTAGTTTTTATCGGCACTTTCGCCCGTACTAGTAAGTTTCATTATAGGTTTTCGCGTGTGTGAGTGTTTGTTTTTGTTTTTATTTTAATTTGGAGAGAAAAAGCAACGAACATCAGCGATCGCTCTTCGTGTTAACTGTGACACGCTTTGTGCCTTAAAGGGACTATGAAATTACCTTTTTACTTTTGCCAGGTAACTTTTACATTAAACCTTCAACGTTAACTTAATGCCGAACAGGCATCCGTTTTTGTCTAAGTTTATTAACTTCTACACAAAAAAATAATGAAATATCGACTTTTTCTTTCTCACCAACTGACCGCAGAACAAGTTGCGGTGTAATTTTGACGGTCGTGACGTACTCTGGCACAGGAACCGGAAGTTCTCTCGGCTGTAGGAGAATGGGAGCGTTAGCGGCGGCGAGTTGGGGGTGCGCCGGTAGGTTTTACTGCGCTGATGGCGCTGATGTAACCGACAAAATTTCTGAATCGGCGCCTCTCATCGCCGCGATAGCCATGGACACATCGCAGCTGAGCGAAATTCAATGAGATATGTTGCGCTACAGCGACAGCATGGGACTAGTCCCATACGCCGGTATGCCTGTTGGGAAGTGCGGCGAGTTTTCCGGTGAAGACTCCAGAAGTCAACCCAACTGTCATTGTTGGTTAAAGGCGGCCCGTGTCAGTCGTTTGCAAAGCAACGTAGATGGAAACAAATTGCCGCGGCGCTTTTCGCGGACTCAGAAATGCAGGAGCGAGCCGACGTTAAAAAAAGATTCGTTTGAACTACGACAGTGTCAGCAAGAGCCACGTAAATACCTGTTCACACACGGAGCGAACGCGCGCGTTTGATGGAAGTGCTGTATTCGCGCTGTTGGTAAGCACTTCGCGACCGATCTTTTACGATCGCAACTCGATACTGACGTGACACTCGGCAAATGAAGATTGGACCGGCATTACACGTAGCTCCCACGAACTGTTATAGCTCGACAGTGACGTGCAGCCGTGTCACAATAAAAATGGCATACTAATAACAAAGTGTACATAGCGTGTTACGAAGTTAATCCGTGCGGCGTTTAATTGAGCTCTACATCACACAAAACAAGAAGATAGAATCGACGAGAGTCCCTTTTCGACAAAAGCGTTCGTCAACACTGCCTCGGAAAACAAGAGGAAGAGACTGACCTCACCTCTTAATCTAAAATTGAAGTCAGCGATCAAACTATACTACGGGAAGGGTCCACAATTGTCGCGCGGGCATATTCCATTCAGCACGCCAGCCGGTCGTGGGCAGACGGTCTTGGCCAAGTACCTTTGAAGCAACGCTGCGCCGAGTCAGAGTGCCTGCTAGGCCCATCTGCCGAGCTCGCTTGGTGGGTGGATTCGTCGCCGTTGTAGCTTTTCTCGGGTGTTTGTGGATCCAGCGTTCTTGTTCGTCGTGGTCTGTTTCAAGTACTTTTTTCTTGCGGCTTGAAGTCGGGACGCGCGAGAAGAACAGGTAGAAAACTAAACGTTCGTTGGTCGTCGCGATAAAGTAACTGAGCGACGCTGTCGGCCCTACTGTAGTTGCTTCGTTTACCACACGATAGATGGCCCTTGGCTCTCAGCACTATCAAATTTGGCAGTTTGAGTCACATCTCTAATTATGCTACAAAATGTGGATCTGAATATTATTTAACAAAACTTTAAGGAAATATTAGCCTGCTATTTATTGTTTACGATCGCGGTGCTGGTGAGGTAGGCTCTTACCCAATAGGCGACGTGGATTCGGCTGACGTGCTGCGATTCCGCGGATGCATTGCAGTGAAAAGGCAGAGAGCTTTTGAAGGAAAGAGGCGCAAAAGAGTCCAGTTTTCTTTTAAAAGTTCTATAGCGAATAATTTTTTTTTGGCTCCCTATTTTTGTGTTTTTTTTGTTTCTTTGCACATTTTTTACGACGATCGGTGGATGAAATTCGATTTCAGAATCGTTTCATCGTCCCCTTAATGTCAACGCGGTACCTTTTTTTTTTTTTCAATATAAACCTTGTAAAGGTTTTGACCGTAGAAACAAGATGAACCCAGTCAGGATGAATTACTGTGTGCGCTTTGTCTTCTCTTCGTCGTTTTCATAATTTAGGCATATCATATGTATCACTAACAGATTTCAAACAATCGCTCATTCCAAGAAACTTTACCGGGTTGCAAACACCTTTTTCCCTTCGTAGCCACAATCCAGACAATCCAGGACATACACATCTTCTAAAGTTATCTTGCTCATTTCTAATAATCAATGCCGTGACCGATTTTGTTTGTGTGTGTGGTGGGGGGGGGGGGGGGCAAAAACGCGTATACTAGTTTCTTATCAATTACCTTCTTTTTATATACCAGTGGTCCAGATTGCGGACATAAAGAATCAAATAACGTTGATGAATTGGCTGATAACAATGTTGTTAAAACTTTCGGCACCCTATTAGATTTATCGTCATCTCATATCCTCCTATACAAGCGGAAAGCCTGAGCCTTCCGCGCTCGAACAATAGGTAGGTTAGTTCGCCGCAAAAAGGGGGTGGAGGAGTCGAGGGGCGCGCAAGGATAAATTATCTTGCATGCAGCGCCACACAGTGTCGTAAGGCGAACTACCCCTCTTTCTATCTTTATGTATTTTGCGGGGGAAAAAAGACGACCGGTTTTTTTAATAATTTTTCTCTACTACTTAACATCCTTTCATAGTGCTCTTCGAGAGAAAGCGTTTGTACGAACCGCGGGAATGGGAAAGAAAGGTCAGTCCTAGCTGAAGAGGGGCAAGTTGACCGTACTACCTTTTCTTTTCCAAAAAAGAAAACGAGAAAAGCTGAGTGTTTCTGAAAGTGACCACGGACACGTGGCGGAGCTCGCTTCCCAATACCATTTTTCTCCTATCCTCTCGTTCTGTCCCCCCATTTTGGGGCTCTGGTTTCAGTGCGGATGGTGCAGGCTTGACCCCCATATTGGAAGCTATGGCCATCCTTAAGTTTTATGGTAATCACATCATGTTTCTTCCTAACATCACCCGCTACCCTCGTACTTTCCTCAGGAGAGGTAGTCTTGGAAAAGGGCTCCTTTGCCTGGACCAAGGGCCAGGGACCCAAGAACAAGTCCGTGCTCCGTGGAATTTCCCTGGACGTCCAATCAGGCGCCCTCGTGGGCGTCACCGGATTCGTGGGAAGCGGCAAGTCATCCCTTCTGGCGGCCATCTTGGGAGACATGCACTGCCTCGAGGGAACCGTCAGAATCAAGGTACGCATGTTCCTACGCAATTCGGTTCATTCGGGACGTTTTGAGAAACAACACAACTTGTCTCATGCCCGGTCTTCGGTGTTCGTTTTCTCGGCGTATACTGTTTCAGCTGTTGTTAACCATCTATAGTCTGTAGACGATTACAAACAGGGCGACTTGCCGCCGTCATGTTTCTGCTCGTGTGAGCAAGCACCTCACAATCGTGTGAGCGAGCACCTCACAATCAAGATTTCGCAGTCTTGCAATCGCAAGAATGCCAAATCTAGGCGGAGACGTATGCTGCACGTATTTGTACGCATGGAGCACCAGTAAGGGCACCATGCTTGAAAGCGTGCATAGTCACTGAACAAACAGCAGGGAGGTCTTTCGGAGGCTACGCCTCCAGTCAACATTAGAGCGTCTTAGTATTGCGTAAAAGAGCAAACGCAGGTGCTGTGCGCTTAAGTTAGCGTTGCGTATTCCACACTGTACATGCGCGTCGTCGCCATGCGCTTATTCAAGACGCACTTTGGGCTCCGAGCACAAGCAGTGTCGAACACGCAACGCTAACTCGAACGCACTCTATACTTGCGTTTGTTCGTGTACGCAATACTACAACTCAATATTACCTAGGTAGGAAGCCGTAGTGTTCAATTATAAACGTCACCGGTACTGAGGTCCAGCAAGGGTCACAAGTTGGACTCGAGTGTTTTTTCAACCTTCGGCAGGGACTCGTGTTCTGACTAAATAATCAGTCCATTATCACACTCCGACGTAGCACTCATATTCATTATGTGCCTAACAATGGCCCTCACTAGGTGACTGGTTAAATTCAGCTCTATACGGGTTTCTAACTATTGTCGGTGACATGTTAAGCGCGCAGTATTCTAGCCTCCTCTATAGTCACAAAGCCTGGCAGTTCGACGACGGAGCCATAGAGCGCCCGGTCGCAGACTCAGAGCGCGAGGATCTGGTAGCACAGAGCATTTCTCGGGGAGCCTGTAGTCAGCGCACAGTGTTTGCAGTGGCGAGGACCCAAAACATGGTTTTCAAAACCGAAGAGCAAAAAAGCGGTAACGCGAAGAACGCAGGAGCATGAGCGGACATTCCATCGCTCGGGACAAGTGTGTTTCGGCGTCTCGCCGCAGCGGGGCGCCCGTTACATGACTGCTTGCCTGCCGCTCTACCTTTTCACTTTCGGCGACCGCATCTTGTGGCGATCTGCCAAGCTTTGTCAGTATAAAGGAGGCCATGGCAGGACAAGTTCCTCCCACGAAGCCGTCCACCCTTTCCTCTTTAGCCGAGCGAAATCTGGAGAGAAGGCGAATTTCTTCTTGGCTCCTCCCCAGCGTTTGGCCTGGAAAGTGGAAAGACCGGAGGCCTTAACGTGAGGAGCCTGTCCTGCAATCTTACCCTGTCACAAACGGGAGGGGGTGTTGCTACAGCGCATACTCACTTTGGACAACACTCCTATGTTTTGCGAGCTTTGACCATGCATGCTCAGCGGAAGCACGGTAGAAGTTAACGAGTGCGTGCTGGGACGCTGCTCCTTCAAACCATTACACTCTGCGTTTCTTCTCGTCAGTGTCCTTACTTAAACGTAAAAAACGTACGAGAGGTGCCGCCCCCGAAATTCCCCAGGAAGAGATGACGCCAGGCACCATATTTATGTCGTCACGAAGAAAGAGGAGCATCCGTTAGTGCGTTTCTTTTTTCAAGATTGGCGCCCACGAAAACTAATATCCACCTCAAAATGTCCAATGCATCCCATGCATTGGTCATTGGGCGGAGCGTTGTTCTACGTGGGAGGAGCCTCACACGGAAAAAAAAAGGGTATATCATTACGCCCCTTGTCACGTAAACGACACCCCAAAACTTCAGTTGAACGTACAGCGTACTGTCGTTGAAAAGACGATACCAACTTTCACGAGGGGCGTGATAGCCGAGTTGTGTAACTTATCACAGTAGCTAATGTACATACGTGTGACTTACTGCAAAAAAAAAAAAAAATCGGCGCTTTCTGAAACTTACTGCGAAACCTCAGCGTTTGTTTCTTTTTTTTTTTTTTTAGTCTTTGATACGTACTTTAGCTGTTCAATATGTTATATCCCACCGGCATCAAGCCTCTCGTAAAAGTTGGGGCGGTCAGTTAGATGTCAGTGCTTTGTACGCCGAACTGAAGCTTTGAAGTGTCGTATATATGACAATTAATGGCTACACCCTTTTTTTACAGAGAGTTGTCCTGCCGCTCTTGTGTTGCAGTGGTTGTTGTGTTGCAGTGATTCTTGTGTTGCAGTCCAGCTGCCAACATGTTATTAACAGTACAAAAAAAATTCGAAATGCAAAGTTTAAGCTTTGGTTCTGTGAAAGCAGACACGAATGTGCCTCCGTCCATATAGTTATTTGGAGTCGTCTGGACTTATCAAATGTAGGCCACACGACCTCGCACTTTAGAGTATCACCGCGCACGACTAAAAGAGGACGGGAAATCCTCTCACCAATACCGCTTGATCCATATGGGTCAATCACTGTTGAAGATTGTTGCAAAAACCTTTCGCACACTTCTGATGATTCATCAAGACATTTCAACAACCGATCAGGACAGCACAACAAATCAGGTTGGTTCATCCAAATCTTCCAGGGTCTCACTGGTTGATCAGTACTACTGTATGGTGTAATGATCCAATGATTTACCGAAACCTTCAAGGCAGCACGTGATATTTCCTCACCCTATTCCACAACTTCCTGACAGTGTATCAGCCTATTTTAGTGGTCCACGCAGCCGAAAACAAATCCAGATATGCAACGGATCATACGAACTCTTTGGCACACTGAAAAGAAAACAATGACGCCACATCACAAGGCGTTTAGTATCTCATTCAAGTAAAAAAAAAATTACTCTAAAGAAAGTTTAAGCGTTTCATTCTTGTCCATTCTTACGAGTAATACACTATATGTTAATGTGTTACAGGGCAAGATTGGGTACGTCCCCCAAGTGGCTTGCATCTACAATATGACCGTTCGGGACAACATAATCTTCGGTCAGGAGTTCGATCCTGTCCGCTATGGCCGTGTACTCCGGGCCTGCGAACTTCTTAACGACATCAACACATTCCCTGCTGGTGACCTCACTGAAGTCGGAGAGAAGGTGCGCTTTTTTTTCTTTTTAAGATAACGCATTAAAAAAAGTACCTGACCAACTTAGCATGTCTCAGAAATTAAACATGCGAATCTGAGATAAATGTAGCTTGAAACGCTGACACGATTATTCGACGTTCAATAGGACTTAAGTAAATGTTGGTGAGTGATATATTCAATAGTTGATAATATGAATAATTCCCAAATTTTAATGTCATATAAAAGCATGGTTCGTTTTTATACAAAGTAATTAAGAAGCCTGAAAATTAATTGACTTGGACAAAAAAGCATAGACGCTGTCACATGCAACTTTTCTTATGTGTATTAACGTCATCTAGATACAAAAATAGGTCAAGCAGGTTCAAGCGCGATTCAAACACACTGTATATTCCCATATTAAAATATGCGTCGTCATTATGCCCCACAGTGCCACTTTTGATTAACGAACGATTTTTAGGACACGTTAGAAATGGTTAAATTCATTCCTCGAGATCCTTTCCGCTGTATGTGTACAGGGTGCGGCAACATGAGCTGTCCCAGTGGCGATCAAGCCGGGGCTGCACAAAACCCACGTTGTGCGCCCCAGATGCGTTGTTAACCTGTTAGGTTAAAAAAAAGAGAGATTTCAATGAATTGAACGTTTCCTGTTGTCGCTATGTGTCAGACTGTTTTGTTTGTTTTCTTAGCTTAGGATGCCAATGGCACCCCAAGCTGCATTTTTCCCCCTTTTCGATAGCACTTAAGTGAGTTAGCTCATGTTGCTGCTGGGTGTAGATATTTTGAGGCTTTAAGCCTGCTCACACACTAACGACTGCTTACAATCGCGTGCCTTAAAACCTCTTAAAATCTCTTATGACGAGAGAACACACTGACACCATCTATCTGGTAGCTGTGGGACACTTGGCATTTCCGTATACTTCCTGCTTTTATCAGCATCATTTCTTCTTTTAGGCATAAAAGCTTTTGACAATGTTATAAACGACCAGGTCTCATATATAGTGCTTACGTTTGATCTGGAAAATACCATGAAAACCTTTGTTCTAGTAATATGCAGTTTTAGGGTAACTTCATATATGGCGCCAGTATGCCAGTTCTGTTTCCCCGCCGTGAGAGACAACAACGGCTCGGCCTAACCACATGCGAGTGTGTGAACGTGCCTTAACGTTGAGCCGTCTGCGTTTCTTATCCCTTAGGGCGAAACGCTGAGCGGCGGTCAGAAGCAGCGAATCTCGCTCGCTCGAGCAGCCTACAGTCGCTGTTCTATTTACCTTCTCGACGATCCGCTCAGCGCCCTTGACCCAAACGTTGCAGACAAGGTTTTCAAGCAAGTGCTGGGGAACAGCGGCCTCCTCAAGACCAAGGTACGGTCGTTCTTATTCCGGCAATTTTAAGAAACGTTCATCACATTTAGGTGGTTCCTGTTTAGTATTTGTTCGTTTTGATTCTCTCTGTTCTTGTTGAGTGTTTGATAATATTGCTATATATAATTATGTTATACAAACTGGTCGTGGTCCATTGATGTTTGCTCGAAAGTGCAGCATTAATGTATGCGTTCACTTGCACCACTACTCAAACGATCCAATAAAAACGCTATCGGAAGTCAATCGCCTAAGTGCTTCAAAAAGTCAGTTTTGATCAGGAGTATTCGTTTGTTAGTTTATTCATTTACTGTTCCTCTTTACCCTGTTTGTTTCTATTGCTTGTTACTTTTATTGGTCTGCTTAAAGGGGCGATGCAACGAGTTTTGTATTTTGTGGAAATACCGCTTAGAGCGGATCCCTGACGTTAATGACCTGTGAAATACCCATTCGTTTTTCACCACACGCAATGGAAGTCGCAGAAAAAAATAAAGAAAAACAAGCAGAGTTCACCCACTCAACGCCTCAACTCGCAGCCAGACAAGCGGCCACGTGACCTGGAGCCGATTATATGCCGCCAATGTTGATCCTAGCCATGCGCTGGGGTCGACAAGGCACAGGACACGCGCTGCGTTCCAGACATTGTTATGGTTCGGCTGTTGTCGTCATTGCAGCGATTGGACACAGGACACTACTCGAATGCTTCTCGAGCTATAGATTATCACGAGCCCAAATCGAGTGCCGACGCAATGCTCGGGTTCAATCTATGAGCCGCATTCAAATATCGTCACTGGGCGGTACTGCTACCGCCGAGCTACGTCATCAGGTTTTGCGAAGGAGAGATTGAATGAAAACGCTCGGTTTAGTCCTCGAAATTACAGTGCAACAAAGGAGTTTCTTGGCCTGGGGCGTTGCGTGCGAGTATCCTTGAGTCCCACTAGTGCCAGTAAGCTTGTGTAAAGTGAAAAACATTCCAATTGAATGTCGTTGCACCGCCCCTTTAAATGTTTTCCTATCTGTCCATTTGCATTTCTCGTAGTTGCTTCCTAGTTCACTCGCTTACAGGTCGATTCGTTTAGCATTTGGTTCATTTGCCTGTCTCTCTTCTGCACTCCAGCCTATGTATCATTTTCCTGAAGGTCTGTTCGTTTGTTCGCCTGCACATGTGCAGCCTCCGACAACTTGATAGGCCCGTTCAGTTAGAGAGTTTCTACGGCGGTGCTAAGCATACGTTTTCCCTGGGCACTTTGTTTTTAGGGCGAAAATAGAACAATGGCTCATTTGTTTCCTCATGAGAGGGAATGTAGGCTCTGAACGAAGCGAATTCTGTACAGCCGCCAGAAACTTCATAGTCGAATGGGTCTTTCATACTGTTGGAGACTGTACCACTGACGAAGTACTGTTTCAGTTACACATATAAAATAGCGCAAAAAAAGTGGACAAGAAGTAAACGGGACCGGCGCAATTGGCGCTTGTCATGTTTACTTCTGGTCGTCGTCTTTTTTTTTTTTGTACTATTTATAATGTTTAACTAAGATTAAACAACTAGCCCAACAACGTAGCCTACTAGTAAATATTGTCGTCTTCGTTTTTTTTTTTTTTTTTGCAGGGTTGGTGGGTTCTTTAATATTCTTCCACGTTTGCGTGTTTCGGAATTTCTGTTCTTAATTTTTTATTATTATTAAAAAATTATTTTCAAGACCCGAATCTTGGTGAGCAACCAGGGCAACCTGTTGAAGCACATGGACCTGCTGATATTGATGGACAAAAACAGCCTGAGTGTCTACCAAAGTCTCGACGAACTGCTGCAAGACGAACGAGCTCCTAAGACCCTGAGCATAGGAATGGCAGGCCAGGGAGAGCGAGGACCTGCTGATAACGAGTAAGAAGTGCTTTTGAGATCTGGATACATGCATGGGCATTGAATATTCGAACGCTTTGGTTATCACTATTATATTGAGCCACCGAGTAGAGCAAGAAATGAACTGAAAGGCGGAGGTTCGTACAGATGTAGAAAAGCAGAACTTAAGGAAGATAGTTCTGGCTGGAAGCAATGATCTACGGGAAAACCCTAAGGTGCAGTATAACTACGAAGACATAAGTAGATACCTTCACCTAAATTGTTCGCCATTGCTCCTTCAAGGAGACTCAAGTTTCTTCAAGGGCGCAAGTTGTGCTTCATCATCTTGGTGGACGTCTCTACGTAGTGTGTATCGAAACATAACTGTAATGCTTGTTGTATTGAGGTTTATAAGTTCTATTATCATATCGGAATAGCATCTGATAGATTGCTGAACATGACCGTAAAATGAGTGCACCTCCTACGATAAACCAGTGTAAACGTTTGCAGTTCTTTTAACTCAAAATATGTAATGCCCGGATCTTCACATGAACTGTATGAATGTGTATAAAAATTAAGAGATAAATAGTGGGTTCCATATAAGTTCCGATAAATGTTTCCTTTATGACCGCTATGCCAGAAATCGTTGCCACTGTAAGCCTAAGCGATTCCGCCGACATTTCCTGGCTTCGTTTTGCTTTATTTCTTTCAGTACTGAGGCCGCACTAACAGATCAAGATGGCTCAAACGGAAAAGTTATACAATTGGAATCCATCACATCCGGGAAGGTACCTTTCTTTTTATATTATATAGTTAAACTACTCGTTCTTGTTCAGGAGCGCTGTCGAAACTGTGCATGAATATCAATGCACTAATACGTTTTCAAAATGGCAAACAATTCAAATTTCGATAATATAACATGCCCCAAACCAAGCTGTTCATTCTAATCAAGACGTAACTCTTTTTTTTTTTTTCTAGTCCCGATCTAAAATACCTTTTAAGTGACGCACAGCGCGGCGAACGCTGTGTTGCAAACGACCAGATAAAGTCCTATTGGCGCGCGCCTGAGTACCATTGCCGACAGCGTCGCCACCGGCCATACGGCGCAGCCGAGAAAGAAAAATACCAAGAAAGTGTATCGTCGCGATGACACCCAGGCTCACGCGCTTTCCCCTCGGCACGTCTGCTCTGACCACAACGGACGCTGGCTTGAACACTGCACTCAAGGTCTCTCCGCTTCAACGCCTTCATAAAACTGTTTTTATCGCTTTTGATTCACTAAACGGGAGTCAATGACGAAGCTGTGTCTAAGCAACAGGCGTAGCGCAAGTACCAAGCTCCACATGACGCGTCACATTCAGAAAACAACTTTAAAAACAAGCATGTCTCCCATAAGGAAGCATAAAAAGCCGGGTCCGCGAAAGGTTGGATGCTTATCGAAGAGCCACCTGTTGGCTCCTCTTGCAAACAAGGCGAACGCGCAGTCCCCACCGTGGTTCATCTTTAGTCGTACATAACACGAGAGTTGCTGTACCCCTACGGCGCAGGCATTTCCCACGGCGTGAGAGCCAAAGACAGTTACGGATTCTGTGCAGTGGACAGTCGAATTTGCGACTTGATTAGTTGGTTTCCCACTAGCGTTTGGATAAATTGAATTGAAGATGCTTGTGGTGCTGGTGGGGGGGGGGGGGGGGGGGGGAGGGGAGGGGAGGGGGGGGTGTTATTGCCTGCCATGAAGTACGCCTCTGGCATTCATGCTGTTGACCTGCGATATGGCCTGCGCAGTATGAGTGCTGATCTGTGATCTTTGCGTGTGCAGTAATGGTAGAACGACTGCCTATTACGGTGGTGACATCAGGCCGTTTTTTGGCTTGAGACTTCTTCCCTTTTGTTTGCCTGGGAGAGACCGATCGGTAATGTATGCACCCCCCCCCCCCCTTTTTTTTCTCGACCGAAGGCAATGTTACGGCCGTAGCAGTTGTTGGCGAGATATCACAGTTAAGGTGCGTTTATACTCCAACGTAACGTCGACGGGTGCACGCGCCCGACCTCGTTGCGTTACGCTACAAAAGGAACGTCTATTCTCCGACGACAGTCGAACGTAACGCAACGTAGGGCGCCTCGGCGACCGTCGGCGAAGGTTTCGCCGAGGTTAAGGTCCCTATATCCTGAAAGGTAGTGCAAATTCGTCCACTCCCCGCGCTTTTCTTCTTTCTTGACGGGGTGGTTCTCATTTGAACCCGTTCGCATTTCTACCTTCTCGTTTTTACCTTCTCATTTGAACCCAGCGCAAGACAACTTTCGAGTTTCTCCCTTTTTCATTTAAACCGTTCTCAAAACAAACTTTCGGGTTTTGACCCTTCTCAAAACGGCTTTTCTAATTTTAACCTTTTCTCAAAACATACTTTCTGGTTTTGACCATTGTCAGAAAGACTTTTCTCATTTTAACCTCTCTCATTTCTAACCCAAATTAATCCAACATCATGATCTCGCAATCTTTCTGCGGTATTTATGGCGAATTCGGGTAATTAATTGCCTTCGAGCCCTTGCCTGTGGCACCGGCGACCAAAAACGCTCCAGCAGCGCATCACGTGACCCTCTCCACCCGAATGCAAAGCACAATGAACTGGCGTTTTTATTTGACTGGGTCGCGAATGAGCTCTGTTAACTTCTTCGATCATTCTATGGTACCATGAGCACGCTGCATACGCCAACAACATGAATTACGAGTCTTTGAGATATGTGTAAACAGAAGCGGCTTCACAAAACTTTTCAAAATATTGGCATTACCACAGTCCGTACAGCTGACAGAATATTAAAATATAAAATCAATGAAAGGGCAGATGTATAAATCAGTGTGGTACTGCCCGCACGCCCGTCAAATTTCAATAATCTTCGTTTGGATTTTCGATTAACTGTTGCCACGGAGGCTTGCCAGCGTCGCTTTCCATATTCTGTTTACTGTTAGTAGAGAGTTTTAGTAGATCGTTCCCATGACTTCGATAACGATACCCAATACTTTGCCACCGCCTCCCTTGCGCATGCATAGTATCGTTATCGGGGCTATCGGGGGTATCGGAACGATCTACTAAAACTCTAGCACATTTTTTTGAAATCCTCAGTCTTCTGATTGCACCCACCCTCCTTGGGATGGTAATGCGTGTTCAAGTTTCAAACTGCATCACTATGCATACTTTTTTTTCAACGGTGTAATAACTTGTTATTACAGAGTTGTAAAATAAAGTGATGTATGATGCAGTCCGTGTCTCAGAGCAAACATACCTTGCTCAGGCTGGATAAATTCTTCCAAAAATGTTGACTTTCTTTGAAACATAAATTATCTTTCTCTACGTTGTTTTTGCTATCTTGTCTCAGAGCACAAAAAGGTGCCTGTCTCAATGGCTTCGTTTGCCACTCGAACCCGCTATTTGCCGCCTCAGTGAGCATTGTTTCGTTTGGTTCCCTATCCCGATTCGGATGTGACGATACCGGATACAGTCTGGCAGACAAGCTGCCCGACCTCTTGGAGCTTGGGAAAACTTCTGCTGGTAAATTGCCGGTACACGCCTGAGAAGCGCAACCCGAAAAGCTTGCACCCGCCAGCCTTTGATCACGCAAACGCCCTTGCCGAAGATATGGGAAAACTTTTTTTTCAGGAAAAATGACCACCCGAATATATATATATATATATATATAGAGAGAGAGAGAGAGAGAGAGACCAGAGACCACGTACGATGGTGTGAAGTGCCGGTGTTGTATATATATATATATATATATATATATATATATATATATATATATATATATACAACACCGGCACTTCACACCATATATATATATATATATATATATATAACTTCGATTTTTTGATTCGTTGGATTAAGTACGGTTCATTCATCTGCATATGTTCGTTTATATATATATATATATATATATATATATATATATATATATGAAGACAGTTTTGTTTTCTAATGTGAATAAACTATAGCTTTTGTGCACCTTTATTGGAGTTTTCAAGCACGGAAAGACGTCTCGATTTACAAATGCCATAACGCGAGCAGGATTGCAATCACTCGTGCGTAAAGACAAGCTTTCTCCAATTCTGCTGGGCGCGGACGATATAAAAAAAAAAAAAACCCGCATCTCCACGTGGTGAATGATGTTGATTGGGGCGAAGCTCTGGTGGTGCTTGTCTGCGTAGACGCTGAGCCGCAGCATGCCGAGCCTTTCGTTCGTTTTCATCCATGTCACGCTGCGGTTAAATGCTCAAATGCGTATATAACCACGTTCCATACCACACATTCACTTTCTGTCATGGATGAAAACGAACGAAAGGCTCGACATGCTGCGGCTCACCATCTACACAGGCAAGCACCACCAGAGCTTCGCCCCAATCAACATCATTCACTACGTGGAGATGCGGTTGTTTTTTGTGTGTGTTTTTTTCCTACACGAGCACGGGAGCACGTGCTCACGTGCTCGTGATCACGTGAGCTCACGAGCAGGAGCATGTGCACCCGACGGCGGACGGACATACGGACATGGCTAGCCCTAAGGAGCTCCGCCCCTGAAAAAAAAGACAATGTAGTCTTCAGTATTTTGGGTCATCGGCCATCAGTGCAAAAATGTATTTCGTTTACCAGTTTATTGCACCAAGAGCTGAGGGCAGACACACGATAAAAAGCACCTCTCCCTGTGCGTAAATAGAGTTTCGTAGGCAAGGACTGCGTTGCTAGCGGGAGCTCGTGCCGTCGCTTTGAGCTTGGAGCACGCACCCGCAAGGCTTGCAATCCTAACCGTACGCTCTACTATAACTTTCTCGTATCTTGAACAAAGTGCATGTGCAGACTCGCTATCACTCGAGTTAGGCAAATAAAAGGCGCCACAACGAGCACAAAACCAGGACTCTTCGGTAGATTTTAGCATTACCGATCGTTCGCCGAACAAGCAGCATTGCTTACTTCGTTCACATTTTATAAACGTCGAATACTACCAGCAACTGTACACATGCGTACGGAGGAATATGCAGTATTCACTATTGACACGTCGTGCAGTTAACAACCCATCAAATACGCTGATTGGTTTCCCCTCATTTGTAAAAAAAAAAAAAATAGCACGCGTTTGGTTGTTTTCTTAGCGCGTTCCTCATTACCGACGCCCTCTTTCATCCTTAGTGTGTTTTGAGGTATTATTTTGACGTTCACACGCGCAGGGTACGCCCTTGAGTTCACTTGCAAAGCGTATAACACTTGCCGCACACCCGCGGGCGTACCTTACTGCTTGAGTTACAAATGAGAAGAGATCCTTCAACAAAGCCCCCCTTCACCGCAGCATCTCTTAATGCAAAAAAGTGATATAAACGATCCTAACAAAGCCCCCAAAAAGCAAGAGCAATTATTTTTTTTATGTCAGTAAATTATATTTTATGATTCGGACAGGGCAAGTCACATACAATGACGAGGACAACAAAATATGTATTGCTACAAGGAAAAATATTGCAGATTTGTTACCGTCTGGACTAGCCGCCTTTTCAAGAAACATTCCTGTTCAACTACAAGGACATCGTAACAAGACAATATCGGAATAGATCATACTGTTCTCGTCCCATCATCGCATCTTTCGGTTCTCATCAGCGAGACCGAAAGAGACAGGGAATACGGGCAGAGTTTTACAATGACTTAGTCGCAAAGTCTCCCTCGGATGCAGTCGAAACTTTCCCGACCGATCCGGTGGAGGCATTGTCTCCGCCGCTGAAGATTTTCTTTTTCGTTGCGACGACAAAAAGCTTCTTCCCATTCGCAACGCTGTTTTTACAATCCACAGCGCAGCCTGATGGCATCGTGTTGCGGCCAAGGTCGTGGTAAAAAAAACTACGGTCGGGCCGCAAGCACAGGAGCCACTGCCAAGCCTCGCACAAAAATGGCGTCAGTTTATTGCAGACAACCGAATCGCGCGGGATTATGACAAGGTAACGGTCACCTGTCTCGCCCGATATAATTGAAACGAGGGAAAGAGAACTTCTGAGAAAGAGCGGACACGAACGAGGAGAAATTTCTCCTCCCCATTTCAGACAATGTTTTGCTCTACCTTTCATTATACAGGGACCTCCTCACAGCAGATCCCGTGGGTGTGTTTTGCCTGAGGCAGTCACGTCATATGACATTCCGTCGTGTAACGTCAGCTGACAATAGGGAGTTTTCGTAGATTGTATTCCCATCTCTGCTACGCTTTCCGGAATGAAGACGCCACAACTGCGCATGCGCGGATATCCTAGCGGATTGCGGAGAACGTTGCGCGACGGCGGAAACTATCCACGAAAACTTTCTAATGTGACGTAACGGAAAACGCTTCCCGCTAAACTTAACTGGAAGAATCGTGACGTCACCTGACATCATGAATTATGTGACCACATCAAGGATGTCACGTGCCATGGGCACGGGACATTAAGGAGTTTCTGTAGATCGCTTCCGCTGTTCCGCAACGCTCTCCGCAACCCCCTACTATATCCGGAACTCTACAATCAAGGCCATCGCCGCGCAGGCGCAGTGGCGGCTTCTCCGTTGCGGAGCGCTTAGCGGAGGGGGAAACACGGTCTACCAAAGTTCCCTGTTGTGACATCAAAGTGTCCCGTTACGTCACCGCGTTACGCGACGTCGCAGTGTCACAGAAACACCGTCCGCTAAATTGAGCGGGACGCGAGTCCACACCACATAAACACGACAGTGTAACTGCGGGCAACAGAGAGAACACGCCTCGGCCGCCATTCATTTGGAGGACGTGGCAAGAAACCGGGAATTACATCGTACAAATAAGAGTGTCTGCACACACTTTCTCAGGCGCGTTCCTGTCCTGCATAACGGTCCGTCAGATATTGGTCATACAAAACTGTCTGCAGGCATTTTTGAACCACACACATGCGTCAAGTTAACATGGTTCGAACATCCTTGAGGCGTGTCCTCAGATAAATATGTCCTCATGCCTATAGATAAATCTGTCCTCATGACTGCAGAGAAACTCCATGTCTTTTGTATGATATACGAGCAGTGTGACTGGATCTTTAGACGAGGCCGTTGTTGCTTCGACGCCATTTTGGAATCCCGCTTGTGAACTTAGGAAGCATCACTCTAACGAGGTGAACATTGATGTAGATACCCTGATAGACCAGTCAGTCCCCCTGGCATAAACGCAAAACCGCGCGGATCTTGTCTTCCAGGGATCCTGGGATCTCATGCGGGCCCTGCTCAGTTTGTCAGGACTGTGCGTACCGGCGTCGTTGGTCTTCTTCGCCGCCAGCGCCATTGCGCTCGCTTGGCAGCAGCTTTGGATTAAAGACTGGACGGACGCAAACTCTTTGGACAACGACGACGATCCCTACGACCCGAACTGGGTCAGGGGCCTGGTGGGGCTCTGCATAGGCGACGGTACGTAGCCGTTCCTGCTACTCTGCCCGCGCTAGCTGCCGACACTACGCGTGCACAGGAGCCCGTTTATCGAAAAGCAAGGCGTCAGTGCGAACCTGGATCCACCACCATGATCCGACGTCAGAAATTCTTTTGCCCCAGTCCTATACTAGAGCTACAAACAAAAACAACTATCAACGACGAGCCTCAAGTAGGTGTAAAATGCAGGCGAAGGTACCTTTGGCAGGCTTGCAGTTTCTTGGTCATCCTGAGGTAAGCGCGAGTGATTGCAATCATGCCAATGTGTCTTCGCACGAATGGTAGCATGTGCTTGAGGCTTGTCGGTGTTGGTTGTTTATGTTTGTCGTTCTAATTTGACTAGGGCATTGCGACCTTATCGAAATGTGTCTTGTCGTTGTTTGATTGTTTTTACTGAGTAAAATACAGAGATGTTTACCTGCATGTTTGCACTAGCTGGCTACTTTTTCCTGGGGTTCAGGGTAGGTAGAAAAGACACAGTGATAAAAGATCAGATTGAAATGATTGCGATGATGCTACAAATTAATTCCCCGTGCCTACAGAAAACTTAGAGACGGGCCAATAGTTCTGTACTAGTAAATACCAGCATCGAAGCCTTTGATACGCTTCTAGATTGGTGCATCGGATTTAAGACGTCAGCTTCATCTTGGAAATTTTAAAATCCGAATATGTATTTATCGTGGTGCGTCTTGTAGAACCTGCCTCTTCTGGTAGTTACACTCCTACCACATTTATTCTATGGATAATTTTATCTAATAAAATCTCTCAAGTTTTTACATTGCCTTCGTGATAGAGATCAAAATACATATGCCACCCCCACACTAGGGTACATGAAATTGCTTGTGGTGTGCCTTGGCCGTCCTGGTAGAGAGCGGAAAGTAAGGTGACGGTTTAGGACACGTAGTCGCATGATGATGGCATGTGCCTTGCCAGCAGTGCCATGACCGTGATTTTCCAACTATAAGGTATGAACATCCGCCCGCTGGGCCAGGCAAAAAGTAGTACAATCTCGGCAGCTCAAGTTCTTTGCGCTCTTCCAAGCCAACTACAAACCGTCAACGCCGTTAGCCTTGTGCCAGAGACCACGGAGTGACCGCAAACGCAGTGCGCCATTCTTCTCAAGGCGCTGTGCATGGCCTAACCAGCGTGGGGCGTCCCTATGGCGTCAGTCGAGTCCACAGTTTCTCTGCAATTTGCGGATGTGTTGCCTTTGGTGGCCCGCGCGGTATTCAGAAGACCTTCGCACCCGTAGTCCCCTACAAGACGAAAACTGCAGGGAGGCGCTTCGGTTGCCTCGCCTCCAGGGCGAGCTTCCTGCCTTTAGTAGCGCTTCGGCGTCTCGCGAGTCTTGAGGGTTCGCGCCCAGCCAAAGCACGACGGAAGGCAACGTGCGCGTGCTGGGGGCCGATTGTCCCAAGGGGACACCCTGCCGGCCCCATCCCGTCAGGTAACTTCAGCAGATATCAGATGGCAGCACGCGCAAGATAATTATTTGCACTTCTACTCAACACCGCCTAAAATAATCACAGCCCGTTCAATAGCTCTTAGACGCACTCACAGTGAGATTAAGTGCTGACAAAGATTAGACGCGAGTGCTGTGTTAGTGTTCGGCCAGGCTTCCTGTCCAGTTCATGCGTTGAGGGACGTTCGGCGTCCTGCTCGGGCCAAATCACTGAGTTGACGCTACCCAAGCGTGATAGCATTGCGTGGAATTTGAGTGGCTGCTCACAGACTGACCAATCTGTGCTGTGACCAATCTACTAGGCTAAAGAGCGAGTGAAGAACCAATCACTGCAATCTATACGGTGCGTTCGGGGGATGACCCTGAGGCCCCCAGAAGAAATAAAACGCGGCAACAACGAGCGGGGTGCGAAATGCTGTCCACAGTGTAAGTCTGGGTATCCCGAAAATGTGTTGAGCTAGAATCGCTCGAAAAACTTCAGTGAGCTCTGTCTGAAGTAGCCAATCGAGTAACACTCGACTATCCGAACCAGTGTTGGCGGTAACGCGTTACAAGAAACGGTGTTACCGGTAACTCCTTACTTTTTTATCGGTAACGTGTAACGTACTCGTTAATTCTTCTAAACAGTAACGCGTAGCGTACTTACATTACTTATTTCTAGTAACGGGTAACGAAGTTGCGTTACTTGTGGCATATTCTTCCCAAGGCTAAAAAAAATTACATTTTAATTTTTTTCGTCTTTGTGGGTGCCAAACCATGCTAATTTTTAAGTGCTTAGTTTTTTTTTTTTGCGTTTTATTTGTGAGCATTTAGGTGAAACCGTCAAAAAGGTAAGTTAATTGTGTTCAGTTTCTGTATGGACAAAATGTTTCTCGAAATATGGCGCCTATTCATACCTCTAACGTTCAAACCGTAAAACGTGTTAACTCATATTTAAAAAAAGTTACGCAAAAAGAACGGTAACGGTAACGCGTCCCTTTTGTTTTGCAGTAACGTGGGTCGGTAACGCGTTCCGTTTATTTGCAAGTAACAAATAACGTATTTCGTTTTTGCGGTGACGTCTGCAACACTGATCCGAACATTGCTTCATCATCCCAGTGCTCTTCCGGTGCGTTGGTGGTGCCCTGCTGGCAGCGAGCACTCGACAACTATCCCGGTCTTTGCACCAGGACATGCTGAGTCACGTCTTGTTGAGCCCTGTGAGCTTCTTCGACTCGGCGCCCCGAGCAAGGATCCTGAACAGGTTCTCACTGGACCTTGACGCGATCGACGCCCGCTTCTTCCTCACGGTCAAGGTGTCCATCCAGAACGCCCTCGTGACCTTGTCTAGACTCTCCGTCATCGCGACCCAGAGCCCCGTAGTTCTCGGAGTAGCGGCCGTGGGAGCCGTCATCCTCGTCTTCGGAATGGTATGTGGACGCGCTGCAAAAAGAAATTTACAGGGAATAGGCTGGCGACTGTGCTGCCAACAACTTCGCGTGAGAGACACGGTATGTACCGCATGTCATAAGTCGCGGTCACACAGCGAATACATTATACAAAATACGGACTGCAGACAATGTCCGACCTCATGTCTGCAGCGGACAGTGTGTGTGTCCTTTGCTCGATGCCTATGCCCTATTTCACCTTATGATGTACCGCAGGAAAGGCTACAAGCGCGAGCTCCTTGCTCTAGGGCACATCTCGGCGGCACAAGCTCTCGTGCATTAAGGGCAGCTGCCACCGCAATGAGCCCGCGCTTCTAGCCTTCGCTACAATACAACATAAGGTGAAATGGAGTGTAGCCTCCTGCATACTGAAAATGCCTGCCCAATCGCCAGCTACCAGCTATCGCCAAAACGTAATTAGTCGTTAGTTTCTTACACAGCTGGAGGTTAGTCTGCCAGAATCATGGCGACAGTGTTACCCACTGTACATAAGCAATTTAGCTAGTGCAGTACGACTGCAACCTGGGGTATTTAAAGTGCATCACGCAGTAGTGATACACAACCGGACGCTGGTTCGATGCTCATCCAGATCAAAACGGGCAGGGGTGGGGATTGAGCCCAGGATCCCTGGGTTCTGCAGCGCGAGCTTTCACTCCACGTGTTTTGAGCTGGTGTGCGCTAACCAGTGTTGGAAAGTAGTTTAAGTACATTGTACTTAAGGTACTACTTCAAGTAGGTTTAGAAAACGTGTACTTTCCTTGAAGTATATTATCTGAGCGTGTACTTAACTTTACTAGAAGTATTTATTCTGGTACTTTCCGAGGAAAGTACAACTCCCGATTTCAAAGTGTATTCCCCAAATTTGGTCTCAATTAAATTTGTATCACAAAAGGATGCTTTGGCAATTTTGAAGACTTACCCGGAGGGATATTCTACTCGCACCAGAAATGCCAGCAGGAACGCATCGCTCCGTTTGTACTGTTAGCGGCTTTCCCGCAGCACTTTTCGCTTGGTCAGCGCAAGCGAGGATGTTAAAAATATTAAATAACACTCCTCCACAAGAGGATAGCATGCGGAAGCTACGGGGCTGACGTCATGCTCTCTCCTGGTACGTTTAAAGGAGTACTCCGGCGATATTTTTAGCTACCCCAACTGTATTTTCGGAATCACCGGCTATTACCTAGTCCCGTATGCTTTTTAGTAACTCTAAATTTAAAGTAGAGTTTGTCAAATCGGAAAGTGAAAACGATGCCAAAATCAACATTGAAATATTCCAGCGCTTTTCAGTGCCGTAACGCCAGGGGAAGGCAGGCTTGCAGGTCGAGCACACAGTATAAAAATGGCCTGGTCCAGTGGTTCTCAACCATCGATGTTTCGCGGACCCCTTGTGGATCGGCGGAAATGATGGAGGACTCCGTTCGTGGTGAGGGGTGGGGAAAGGTATAGGTCAAATATAATAATGATTTAATAAATGCATATAATTAAGTGTTAGTGTGAAGTAGACCTCTGTTATTGATATGCACATGAGAAAACTCGCCCGACAACTGAAACATTTCTTTTCGACATGAAGAAAGACAACTTTTATTGCCGGACTTGACGGATGACACAGGGCTTCGCGGACCCCCATTTGAGAACCACTGGTCTAGGCTAAGCATTTGTTTCGTGCAGCTGCGAGGGTACTGAGGCGAACTTCCAAACATTTGACATTATGACATTATGTAATTAATGGGGAACAAAGTATAGTCCAAAAAGTGAACCCCTCTTCCCCCGAAATCCCTTTTATTAATGCGAAAGCATTAACTGTCCCATGGAACGAGTCGACGTCATCAGCTTTGAAACCGCGCCCGACGGCACCTTAAATCCTTTCTCCAAGTGAAGCCAGCTCCCAGCTATGAAACCATGAGAAAAGCCTAGCCAATCGGCACCTAGTTTCCGCGATCCCAAAAGAGCGGAGTAAAGCTGATGGATTTCGGCTTCGGTCCCATTGGCTGGCGCGCGTCGACGAGGCTCCTATTGGCCGCTGCGGGTCAGTTTCAACGACCGCCACCACACGGCGCTGCGTGTCCGTCAGCGCGCCGGTAACAGCAAAGGTCCAAGGTCAGAGCGCTAGGAGAGGGCGCGCTCTGCCGTCGACGCAAATCCGCCCCAGACGAATTAAGGGAGCGGAATATTGGCGAGCATGCTTTCGCATTCACAACTCATAAGAAGCGCTTAGGTGTACCTCGAGCCTATTTGTTGCCAGTAGGGACTTTCACTTTGAAAAGCGCGTTAAGGACCAAAATTGTAAATTAAATACCTTCGCGAAAAAAAAAATATTTTAACCCAATTCTGGGGTTACTATTTAAGCGATGTTTGAAGGTGTGTTTAGCAAATTTTCTGGCAAATCGGGAACAATGATGAAAACGCCAGAGTGCTCTTTAACCCCCTTGGGTGCAAGCCAGTTTAAGCGGCGCCATATTCAGAAGTCTCAGGGAGGAGAGTAAAACAACTGCGCTGTGGCCACTTGACTTCATCCAATATTCGCCGCCATTTCCAAAAATAACTGTTGCGCACTCAGTAGACGTTTCTCTAAATTACCCCAGCACGAAGAGGCATGCTGCGGGTGTAGTTACACTCGCTGCACGCAGTGGCGTCTGCAGCAGTAGCTGTTACAAAGCAAAAGTTTCAAAAATTGCATCTTGCACGCGCGTTTGTCACCGCCTTATTTGGGCTATTTACTTCGAACATTTTGTACAGAGAAGGCGAGAGGTTGCGACGCTTGTACCCATGTTTAAAACGTTCTTCTCGATGGTTGGGTAATTTAGCAATCGGTCTTTTACCCCTAGAAATTTGCACAACAGTTTAAAACATAAGGCATAGTGGAATAAAAAGGTATTATGAAATAGTGTATTGAAGGTACATGTAATTTCCTTTGAAAGTACATTGTATTTAATGAATTTTACTTCAGGTATATTTTGCCCGATGTACTTACCACTTTGCCTGAACTACATTAACTCTAATCTACTTTGTACTTTACTTGAAGTAATTTTTATTTTTATTTATTTAACAACACTAGGGGGGTCCAGGCAGGAGGGGTACATAGTCAATAAACCAAAGAACACTTTTTATACACCTGTAAAGAAAATAAAATATAGAAAATTAAACGCTCACCAATATACGCAAAAGCGTAGAAATTGCACAGATCGCAATATAGCCGTCGACCTAAAAAATAAAAAATACAGACTTGAGCATTGGCATTACACGTACCACACACAAAAAATCGGGAAAACAATCTTTATACATTGCGCATTTAGAAAGTACAAATAACAATAAGCAAGGGAAACTTACGACACGGAAATACACCTCAGAAAGGTGTCGTCATCTTTCTGAGGTACACCTGATTTAACTTCTAGAAAACGAGAGTAATCTTTGTTTACATCAATAAACTGCCAGCGGCTTTCCAGATAGGCCTTAATCCACCTGATCATCTTGGCTTCATCCAGTATACGCCACCATTTCCGAAAATAACTGATGCACACACAATAGACCTTTTGCTAAATTACCCATGGGGCCCATTTTAGATGTTTATCTTCCAACACTGACGCTAACCCACTCGGCCACCAATCCTCCAGCTATCACCACAAGGGTGATAACTGGGGGAATCGGAGGGAAATGAGAAAATTGCACCCGACATAGCTCCCGAATAAGTAAAGCTCTATGGCGCCGGTTACCTAAAAAGAGGGGCAAAAATGGGCCCATTTTTCTCATTGAAAGTTTCAGATAATCACTTAGCTCAGAAAACGGTTAAGACTGAAACTTTGCCATACTGTTCGGACCTCTAGCGCTACATTTGAACAGAAAATGAGCAGTCTGCGATAAATTGTTTATTTATATGATAAAAAAGAAAGTGCAAATTTTAGGGGGGACACGCTGTACGTATTTTGCTGCTCACCCGCTATGAAATATCGGTTCCGAAAGTGTTCGAAAAACGCGCGTTGTGTTAGTAGCAGTGCGCAGCGGACAAGCCTCGTATTTATGTATGTATGTATATTTGAGGCACAATCTCTTTGTAACGAGAGTCTTGTAAGACATGCCAATAAAAGCAAAAAATAAAAACTAAATAAAAAAGGACAACAACGCAAGAGAACTGGTTAGCACGTGTGTCCAAAGTTCGCCAACCGTCACTTTCGCACAGTCAAAGTTAATCAGTTCACATGACACCGTCGTTTTAAGTGAACGCTTGCCCCTCCAGCCAAAAGTAAAGCAGCGGCTATTGGCCATCTTGGTCACCTTGGTCGTCTTGGTCACGACCCCGATTTTTCAGTCGAGTCTGCCACCATGCCTCGAGCCTCCGCTTGGAGCATACTACATGGGTCTGTTCGTTGGTGAAACCAAGTGCCTGCTCCAAGCGGGCACCCACGACAGGCCTTGGGTGTAGCGCCCTGCACGCAAGCAGCAAGTGGTCGATTGTCTCTTCGCCCGCTCCACACGCACTACATACCGTGTCAGTCACGCTGCTATCGTACTTGCTTCGGTATAGGCGGGTACGTAGGGCACCACCACGGGCTTCTATAAGTAGTCGACTGCCCAGTGTGTTCCCGCAGAAAGTAACCGGGGCAATCTCCGTCTTTAGAGACGCGTACATGTGCATGAAAGTGTGTTGTAGCATGCCGCTCATCCAACGGTCCCTCTCAACCCTCTTCACTTCCTCCCGCACTGTGCTCATCCACTCCTTTTCTGTTTGAGGTTCAGTGGCCCAGCTGAAGATCTTAAACTTTGTCCCAAGACGAGTGACTTGCTTCCTCCACGTCGAGTTGATATGCTTCAGGTGAATGTACATAAAAACTCGCCTGGCCCACCGGTCTCCGTTCATGTACCGGAGACGTGTGTAGTACTGAAGCTTGCTGTTTGCCTCCCGCGCTTCAAAGGAAGACCAGCCGACATCGCCCTCTATCAGTTCATTGGCTACTTGTCCATGACACCCTAGTGCCTGTCGTCCGACC